GCCGCGCGCGCAGTAGGGAGTCGAGTGGTTGAGGAAGAACGGCGGCTGAGCCGGGCCCCGCCGCCATCGCCGGGGGCCCCGGGGCGCCCGTTGCCGCGCGACCGGCGGCGGCTGCGCAGTGACACCGACTGAGGGGCCCGGGCAGTGCAGACACGGGCTGAGGGCAGCTCCCGCCACAGGGGCAGCAGCGCCCAAGGACAGGAACAAAAAAGCCTTTTCACTCATCTTCAGTAACCCAGACACGGTGGAATGACACGGCTGTCCCACTTCTGGGTTAGCACTGCAACGCATTTTAAGAAACCACACAAGTTTCTTCTGTTAACACCTACAAAATGCCCGTTTTGAAAGTATTATATTTATAAAAAACACACAAAATGACAAAGCAGTCTAAAGACGCCAACCCTCCCCAGAAAAAACCTCCAAAACAAAACTTAGCAATGCAACATTTAGTTTGGCGTTTTTCCACTTGGATTTCTAACTCCCTTTCCAAATCCCTCTTTACAATCACCTACCTTGTTTTTTCAGGACAAAGTTTGCAGCCAATGTTTTCCAAATATTTGACAACTATTTGATATTTAAGATTTTTCTAAGGGCATGATGACTTCAGCTGTTCACTCCTCCCTTTCCAGTAGCTCCACCCCCCACAAGAAAACTACAACACACTGGTGCATTTGTTTAATTCTTTAGTCATTGAAATTGAACAAGTAAATTAGTTGCAAGGAAAAATATTCAAATATAAATTTGCTAAAGTACATTCTCCTCACAGAGGACTAACCACGTGCCACAGACCTGTGTGCAAAAAAGAGCCTATGAACAATTTTTGGAGCAGGAAAGCATACCCTAGGGCAGAGGATGAGTATCAGAAGTTTCAACACAAAAAGATAATAATCACGAAATTAAGCTCTTGAAAACAGAAGCAAAAATTGCAGTTGTCTTTTCAGTCACAGTTGTACATCGCTAACCCAAAGCCATTACAAAAGGTCTACTAGGATTCTCTGATCCATGACTAACCCATAGCAGTTAGAAGTCAATATAGCTCTACTGAAGTCACTGGAATCTGTGAGAACTGATATACCCCTAAATGTGGCTCCAAAAAAGCTACTGCATTTACTTGTCATAAAAGCATAGAAGAATAACGGCAGGATTGTTTAAATAAAGATACACAAATATGGAATAATAGAAGAATACAAAAAGTATGAACGTCACAGAACATCATTTCAACTGCACAGGCATTTCTACCCAATTGTAATTTTTAAAAAGTCTACGATTCAGTACGTATTTGAAAAGTTATAGCAGAACAATAGATTTATAAAGAGAAGTGTACCGGTTTTTAAGTAGAAAATACAAGTTATATCTTCCAGTTTGTATTAGTCTTAGCAAACTTCATACAGCCTTTGGTTTCAAACCAATGCAATGCAATCATCATTACAGTGCTTACTTAGTATTCATTAGGAGAGGACGCTGTACAATTGAGGGAGAAAATGTGAGAATTGGGAGTACCAAAGTACCGTATTATAGAAAGTAAAGGCTGAAGCAAAAATATTCTTGGGTATATCCTGTACATCATGTAAACACACATTCAAAATAGTAAACAGGCTAAAATGCCTTCCAAGCCTCCCAAACAGATGCAATATAGCATACATGTACATATATATAGCATATATAACATCATCTTTAGGAAATGTGTAGCCCATTAATTCTGTGCTTAATCATTTGTGATTCAGAAAATACATTCATATATTAGTAGTATATCTCGTGTATTATTTGGAGCTTGCTGGTTGCCATAGACAAGGGCAGATCAATTCATGCTGAGCCTTGCTTTTAACTCAGATACTGCCACCACATAAGCAACGCCCAACTGTTAAAGAACTATCTTTCTTGTTACCAAAGCTGAGAATTTTCGGATTTATGTACAGCAAATCAAGCTGAAACTCTTTGCAGAACAGTAGTTTTCCCAACCATTTTTTTCATTAATCAGGTACAGCAAGTAGTAAGCTTCTATTTTAAAAAGCAGATATGAAAATTTTCAGTAAGCACACACACAAAAAATTACTACTTGTATATATAACATTCAGTCTCTATTTTTTTTTTAGTTTTGAACAGTAACACCTTGAAAAGACCAAAGTTTCTGAATGTTGTAAGATGCAACTTACTTGCTCACTTACAACTAAAAGTAAAATTGAGAATTTTTTGTGTTATTTATCAAAGTAGCTTTTAATAGTATTGTGACATAAGCAAATCCACGGTAGCAAAATGTTATATAGTATATTTGCTATAACATATAGATGTTATATAATAATATACTAGTATGAATTAGACCTTAATGCAAGAAATGAAGCTTAAGATGTCTGTAAGGAAGACCTAAGTGCTTCATACCAAGAATTCTTTCTGGCACTAAATCTTCCTCATATGTGGGTAAATCATGACTGACTTTCTTTCTTCAAAGCTTCTAGTCTTTGTAGTAATGCATTTCCAAACACCTCTCGATACGCAGGGCTGAGAGAGTCCAATAAGGAGTAGACAGTTTCATGGTATGGAGTTTGCAGTCTGTCATCAGTCTGATCAAAATCATAAGCTACTACCTGCAACAAAGAAATGGGTAGTTAAATTTCTGTGGTTATGACCACCTTGCAACTAGTATCACAACATTTAACTTTGCCAGTCAGGGTAGTACAGTAATGCAAGAACAAGAGATACCGGATTTAAATCGCAGTCTGTACTTTCTACCATGGAGCTTAATAGTAATACAGCATCTAAGGCAATTTCAAATAACTTTTGTCCAAAATTCAGAATATTAGCAAAATATATCATTATGGTTTTTGAAAAGAAGTCTCGTGTCCACATGTTTGCACAAAAAATACAAATGGTGCAAAAAGGAATTGTATAGATGCTGCATTATTGACTGCTTTGGGTACCCAAGAAAACCAAAGATTGACACAACTATAATAAATTTCTGCTTCAATCTTCATCATTTAGTGTCTCAAATAAATGCTTGGTCATTCATTAATACCCCTTCTTGCTTTGTTGGAAGTAACTAGTTAAAGTACTCTCTTCTACGAGAAAACACGTAGAACAGGCTTCATAGAAGTATAAGAGAAATATGTATGCTTTTTTGGTGTCAGTGAAGTATTTTTCTAGGCACCTTTTGAACATGTTCATTGTTCAAAACAAAGCTTAAGAAATTATAAATAAATTAGTTTACCCTGAGTCCTGCTTCAGTGAGCTCCAAGCAGTACCTGTTCCTTTCTCTGGTTTCCACATTGATATATGCCACATCCTCTGCACAGGGAAGGGTTTTTGAGACAAACATGTTGCTGACTGCGAACAAAACATCATTCACAACAGCTTCAGCTTCAAGTCTCATATCTTTCACTTCTGTTCCTTCAAAGTCTGTATAATCAGAATCCTCTTCAAATCCTGTATTATTGGGCAACTCCATAGGATTGCAATCAGTCTCCATTCTGCATACGGAAACATTTATTTGAGATTTATTACACCATTACACTCAACATATATTTAGGCCATAAAACATGAGATACATTTTAAGCAGACATATGAAATCTCAATGACAGCCTAGAGAATTAAAAACCAAGACATTGAGGACAAGGGCTGAAGAAGGTTACAGGAGCATATAGAAGTGATATCAGTTTCTCTGAAGTTAGTTTTTCTTCGGCAAGTTAACCCGCATTCTGTTGTATAAGAGTGTTATGATTCAGCAGTCATTAATTCTGCCCTTTGCTAATCCAGAATGCAGGAGGAAGACAAGTCATGGCTCAAAAAACTGAAATCAATAGCAGTAGAAAATAAAAACCTACTGCTAGTGAATTTAAGGAAGACTTTAAAAAGTCTGTGACCTAAATGGATTATCGGTGACTAAAAAGACATTAACAGGAGCTTTTTGTTTACAGTCACTAAAGACTAATGCTCTTGGTCATCTTTTATGCACAGCTGTCGATACATTTCAGAGACATGAGCTTCTGCTCCTTGTGGGCAAGTGGTACCAAGAAGGGTCAGACCCAGCGGTTACCGCAGGGGCCTCTCGGGTACCAGTGTGGCCGTGAGGCCTCAGCGGACACCCGTAGGGAACCTGCCTGAAGCAGCAGGGAAAGAGCCCCTTGGGACGCTGTCCTGAGAGCTCTGATGAGCCCTGCAGCCAGGAGGGAATGGGGGCTGCCAATCGCCGATCCGCAACACGTCAGGCAGTCACTCCACGAGATCCATCACTTCCTGCCAAACCCCACCTCGGACCTACAAACAAATTCCCAAGAGGCTGAAAGCAACAGGGGAGCTGGACCCCGAGCCGCGCAGCCTCCCGCGCCCACGGACCGCGCCCCGAGCGCACTCACCAGCGCCGGCGGGCGGCGAGGCCCCGCCGCCGACCCGCAGGCTCTGGACGCACCCGCTCCGCTCCGCTCCGCCCCCCCGCGTAGCGCAGCGCCCGCTCCGCCGCTCCCCGGGCCGCTCCCCGCACAGGCGGCCCCGGCGCCACTGCCGGCGCGACTCCCCCGGCCCCGCCACCCCCTCCGCGGCTGCTTCGCCCCCGCCTCCCCGCTCCCGACGCCACTTCCCGCACGTCACGGAGCCGCTGGCGCGCGGGGGAGCCGGGCGGCAGGACAAACAGCCCCGATCGGCCCGGCCGCCCTCGCCGGCGGCGCAAGAGCTGACACGGAGGGCGCTGCCCGTCCGGCCGCCGGACCGCGGCCCCTTCCCCGCTCCGCGCAGCGCGGCTGCAGCGGCCTCTCCGCGCCCGCGGCCGCCGAAAAGATGGCGGCGGTGTCCGAGTGAGGATGGAGCGCCTGTCAGCGTCTCTTCGCCCTGAGGGCGGGCAGTGCCGCCCGCCGGGCCGTGAGGGCGCGGGGCGCCGCCTGGAAGCGGAACCCCCGCGGTAGCCCGCGCCGAGGGGCGAGGCCGGCCCGGCGGCTCCCGCTCGCCTCCCTCGCACCTCTGCTCTCCGCCCGGCCCCAGCCCCGTCCCGCCGCCCGGCCCTGCGGCCCCCGGCGCGCCGCCGCCATGCCGTGGCCTTTCTCGGAGTCCATCAAGAAGAGAGCCTGCAGGTACCTGCTGCAGAGGTACCTGGGCCACTTCTTGCAGGAGAAGCTCAGCTTGGAACAGCTCAGCCTGGATCTCTACCAGGGCACCGGCTCCTTGACGCAGGTCCCTCTGGATAAGTGGGTAAGAGATGCCGGCACTTCACCCCCTCGGCTTCTGCTGCATCTGAGGGACCAGCTGATTCCCTGCCCCCGGCTGCCACCCACTTTATTTTCAATACCCAGCCTCCTTTATGTAAAAAGTTACAGCCGTAATTAGCATTTCATCCAGGGAACTCTTCGCTGATGTGCTAGCATCTAGAAGAAAAATCTGTGCATTTATTACAGATATATTTTTCTAGCCATGCTTTGATTGCGTAATTTTTAATATGAGAAAGGAAACAAAAACTAAAAGAAGGCAATAGTTGCTGGTATTTCAGGGAGAAGGAGTTAGTGTAGCCAAAACTACTAGAATTCAGTGATGTACTTACTGAAGAGCATTTTTGCTGGCTACTAGAGATGGTAAAAACATGAAGTAATCCCTGTGGCATCTATACTTTTTCTTCATCTTGGAGACATCGTGGTTCTTAATTATCGTGTTATGCTGAGCTTAGTCCATGTAGATCTCTAAAAATTGTCCCCTAGTCTTGCAATACTGAAAGTACTTGTTGACAAATGGAAAGCTGGTTTTAGCTGGAGTTTAGCAGGTGGGCTGTCCCACTTTGAACCAGCTGAGGCTTTTATTTTTCAATCCTGGCACATATGTTTTTGTATAAGTATGTGCCTATGCACACGTATGCACACTTCTAGTGTACTGTAGACACAGACCTTTGGATTACTGTGTTTGTAATAATTCGTAAAGTTTCTTGGTTTGATTACCAATGTTACTGAATTCTACCTGTCAGTCAAGTGTCTGTCGTGAGGAGTCTTAAGCACTGCAGTGAGTCAGTCGTTGACTTCCAGGGTAGCACTGATCATGAGCTAGGTACTTTGGCTTACTAAGTTTTTCCAGAATGCATTTTTACTAGACTACATACTGGTATTAGGCCGTGCTGGGTACATTTTAAAATACTTGTGAATTTATGATGTTTTCAAGTAATGCTTTTCTAATTGTTTGTGTGAAAATATGTTGGAAAGTGGAAGGAGACAGACGTTTGCAGAAATGCTCAATGGTACCAGTGTTTGTTGTTTGCTTGTTTGTTCATTTATTTTTTAGCTGTGTCTGCAGCTTGTTTTCTGTGTCAGGCTTACAGTGAGGCTGGTCGCTTTAATTGAATTGTTATGCCCTCTAGTGGGTGTAGAGCACTCTTTGCGAGTCAAAGTGATATTATTTAAAATGTAAATACTTTGTAACAGCAGCAGTTACGGGCCGGTAGTAAATATGCAGTTCTTTACGTATACACAGTGATTAAATGAATATACAGTAATGCTTAGGTGATTTTCCCCGTTTGTGGATCAGCATTTTTCTGTTCCACTTGTAAACAATGACATGTTTGAGGTTCCCTGCACGTGACTTTCTCGTGTATGACAGATTGCAAAAACAGATGTCGCGGAAGTACTACACCTCTTTTTTCCCCCTAGTCATTGTAACCTTGTGCTCAGTGAATCACCTCGATGACTGCATTTTTACATGGTATCCATTTTTGTGGATACTTCTGTTCATCTTAGCATTGTAGATACTTTAGCCAACATTGTATGTGTTTATAGATTGTAGAGGTATGTAGGAATACCTGGGGCTATTAATGTAATGCCTTTGCCTTTTGGGACCTGGACTGTTTAGAAAAATCAAAATGTAATGCATAATGTTTGTGGTTGAATTTTAATATACATCAAATAGCACTTTTGCTGTATATCACTAGTGCTGCTGTGATTTCTAGCTGGAGACTTTTGGTCAGTTATGTGGAAACGAGTCCTGTCATGAAGGCTGTGCTTCAGTTTTAAAATTTCACTTGAAATGCTCTAATTGCTGCTTTCTAGGAACAACTGGTCTGTTTATGAAGCAATTTAGCTCAAGAATGCTTCATTTTTTTTGCTTATAGATAGTAAATTTCTGTTTGAAAATAATAAACAATGTATTAAAATACCCTTATTTTTATCACCATGTACATTGGTAGTAAAAGCACATCTCAGTCAGACTTATTCAAAATATAGTAGCTAGCTTAATTCCTGCGATAGCAAAGTACTTTATAAAGGTTCAAGTAATTTAAATGAACCTGTGATATTTTAAAATATAGTTTTCATTTGAAATTTTGTTTTTGCCTGTCTCAGGCTGTTACCACACGTATAATTCTTATGTTTAAGTTCAATTATATTTGAACTTTTATACTTGAGTTCAAAATAAAGCTTTTATGTCACTGAATCTTAACTGATTGTTTGATTCCTAAATAATTTTGCGATAGGACTGTTCAGATTCTGTTTCTTTAAAGTTGATGTCTTTTCCTGCTGTCCTGAGTGGACTTTGGAACAGAAACTAGAAAAGCTGAACATGCAAGGCAAACAAGATTCCAAAAGCAAAGTTATTAAGCATAAGCAAAGCAACAAGTTAACATGATGGGAAACTTGCACCTGGAGACATAAGAGTGAAAAATGTAATTTTCTGAAAACTTATTTTGTTTATTTTTAAGTTATTCTATATAATTGGAACATTTTAAATATGATTAAAATGGAAAACAACTTTTAAAAACAACTTTTATTTTTTCCCAAAATTTTGATGTTGAATTTATGCATTTTCTCAGGTAAAATCAGCAGCCTTGTTCAACACAGGAAGGTCAAACCCACACTTTTTCTTGCCATTTGGAGATTATGTCCTGTTATTACAACCACAGTCTTTAGTAGGGTCTTGTTTATATTGGAAAGTTGCACTCACCAAATTTGATATGTGATTTAGATTGTTTTTTGTTTCATTAAAGCAGCCTCGCTAGTTCTTGTTCCATAACTTCAGTTTTAACTACATTTTTGAGGCAGGGCACAAACAGGGATTCACTTTTTTTTTTAACGTAAATGAGAAGAATATGTTTCGTCTATATGGATGTAATAAAACCTATATAATGCAACAAGGGAGTCTTTTCTGAGAATTGTGGAAGATTTAAAAATCTGAAGTTACTACTTCAGAGCTAGTACAGTACTAAGGGCAACTTGATTGTAGCATTTTGCTATAAAGATATGATTTAGAAATGGCAAGTATGTTACACAACAGGAAGTGATTGTTTGGTTCCATTGATCCAGTGTCACAGAGAAATCGAAAATGAACATTACACTGAAGATACATGCTATGAAATACTCCTGTCACTAGGAGTTTAGGTACTTTTTGTACCTTTACTGTCAGCCTGTTTTCAGTTTTTTCAAGTACTGCCAAAGAAAGAATAGATTTACTTTTGTTAGTACTGTAGTATTTATAAGAGTAAGTTAGCAGATATTTTTTTTGAATAGCCAAAAATACAGATTATACAGCTACCACAGAGCAATCTGTGTTATGCTGAAAGCTGGGTAATTAATGTGAAACAAATTGCAGTGGAATTGAAATACTTGAAAGTGACCATTTTTTGTCCTTCTGAGTATAATTCATTTTCTGGTAGTCTCAAAGTGTTTTATTAGTTAGATGCATAATTATGGAGATGATTTTTAAAAACTTTTTTTTTTGTTCTCTTCTAGTGTCTTAATGAGATCCTGGAGTCTGCAGATGCACCTCTGGAAGTCACAGATGGATTTATCCAATCAATTTCTTTATCTGTTCCATGGGGGTCATTGCTACAGGATAACTGTGCATTGGAAGTAAAAGGATTAGAGATGGTCTTCAGGCCGAGACCAAGACTGGGTATGCTTATTTTTTCATTTTAGAAAAGGAGATTCTTTACAGTTTTTCAGAGTCAAAAGGCTACTCTTGCTTTAGTCAGTCTTTGCCTTTTTTAAAATGCCATTTAGTTTACATACATTAATGTTAGAGAATGTAATAAAAAAAAGAAACTATCAGGTGTTCATCAATTGGTTGTCAACTCAATTAATTGTTGTTCTGTTAAATAGCTTAAAATGATAAAATGCTCTTACTGTTGTATCTCTTCCAATACTGTGTGGAAAGGAGTTTTGATTGGCTACCGGTTTTGGGTGTTGTATGCCAAATGCTGTTAGTCAGCATTGGTAGCTGGCAGTAGGATAATACCATAGTAACCATGAAGGGGGGCTACAGAGAGGTTCTGGCTTTCTTTGGCCACTTTAGGGTAAAAGATGCCTCTTCTTGTGTGTTTGGAGAACAACTAATGCAATTTAATTGCTATCACAGTCTTAAATAATGACTTTCAAGTACTCTAAAGACTTACCTTTATGTAATCTGATGCTGAGAGGATTGGCTGAGTTCTAACTTGTCTGTATCCAGATGAATCTAACTGATCTAGTGATAAATTTTCACTGGTCACCAAAACTCCATAAATTCTGCTAAGATGTGTTGTTATAGCATGTGTGGAGCACTTAATGTGTGAAAATTGTAGCTTGGTTGTCTGAAGGATTTTAGTTTATTTTCCTTTTTATAGTGTGGAGAAGATGGAATAAAACATTTCTTTAAACGTATCATGAAGAAGTTTTCTTGATACGTTTCTTGATACGTTGATAAGTTTTCGTGCATAAAACCTATTTTTCATCTGTTGCAAGTTACCTTAAATAACTTACTTGCATATATATACTCTGAATTTCATCCTTAGTTGTTTAACTGGAATTAAGTTTTGAGCTATCTTACTTTCTGATGTAAGATTACTGCTTTAAGAGAATGATAGCATTAGGAGGAAACTTTTTATTTGTTCACTTGCATCCATTTAGTTCTCTTCAATGCACTGTGCTTTAGAATAAACAGTGTAGAAAAACCCCCACAGAGCTGGTTTTATCACACATCTATAGCCTCATGGATGTTTCCAGACCTGAATGCTAGACTGAAATGTTTTGCCTGTTTAACCTGTTTGTATTTGTGCTAGTTTTACTTTTTTCTGCCTACACTAGAGCGTTTTAGTTGAATTTGATTAACTTTTCTAATCTAGTTTTATAGTATTTGCTCACAATGGGCTTGGCGTTAACTGGTAGGAATGAACTGTCAATTAAATTAATCTGGCTGATGAAAACTTGTTCAGCTTAATACCTGCCATGCTCTATGATTTTATGATGTTCTACTTACTGTATCAGGTCTATGTTAGTCATTTAAAACGTTTTCTAATATGCTAAGATAACATCTTAAACCTTGTTTAGTCTTTCTTCATGTAGGATATGTTTCAGATGGAATAAGAAACCTTGAAATAATTCTTAAAAATAGGATTTATTTAATTTTGCCAATTATGCCTGCAAAAGCATACCAATATAGTGAAAGAACTCCAGAAATTATTCACTTAAACCAGTGCTAAAGATTCGTCATGGTGTTAATTATTTGGTTTCCTCTTATTTATAATGAGTTTTCAAATACCAGAATCTTATCAATGCAGTCTAAGTAGATTAAAATAATTTTAAAATAGTAAAGTCTGTAAAGAGAGATTGTAACTAAATTTGTTTTTAAGTATGACTTCTCACTAAACCATTGAAATTCTTTCCTGGGTGTGCCAAATGTATTACTTTGTTTTGTCTTTATAGTTTCATAATGTTTACAGTCAAATTTATTAAGACTTCTTTTACTCCACAGCATCTGGTTCTGAGCCTATGTATTGGTCAAGTTTTATGACCAGTAGTATGCAGCTTGCAAAAGAGTGTCTTAGCCAAAAACTGACAGATGAACAAGGAGAAGGGTCCCAGCCTTTTGAAGGACTTGAGAAATTTGCAGAAACTATTGAAACAGGTATGAATTAATTACTGAAATCTGAATTAACATCTGAGATTAAATTGGTTTATGTTGTGTCTTGGTTTTACAAAATGGCATCTCAATTGCCATAACTTATCTGACAAATTTTCATTTGTTAGCATTACTTGTAAAATTTAAAGAGGAAAGGAGGACAGCTGATCTTGCTTTTGAAGCAGAGAAAAAATGCCCTATTTACTTACTAAAATATTTGTATACTTCCTTCAGTGGACAGAATGAACCCTGTTTCAGGGCAAGTTGGTGTTTGTTTTCACCAGAATAAATCCAGCTGAATCTGCACCTGAGTGATTGGTGAGATGCCTTAGTTTTGGAGATGCCAGTTTAATTCATCACACAAATTTAGATTGTTAGTAGTGATGCTGTTGAGGGAGAAATGGAGAATATTTTTTCAGCTGTTTTTATGCAAAGCTGACCTGTTATAATATATCATGCCACCATAATCACACCATGTTGATAGAAGTACTTCAGAAATCTTGTTTTTTTGTTGGAGGTGTTTTTTTTAAATGAAAGAAAATAAGGCCTTATGACCACAGTATGTGGTGGAGAACTTAGTGCTGAAAAGTGTGAGCTAAGGGAAATGTTCAGTCTAGAAGTGGAATTATTCAGTCCAAGCAGTGTGATGCTACCCAAGGTTTAGGAGTTCAGATATGGTGCACAATGAAGCAGATACTTTCTTTGAGGGTCATCCACACTGAGCTACAGAACAACTTGATTTGAGCTGTCACTTGCTCAAATATCCAAGCCTTAAAGACCAGTTGTACACTATGGATGTACATATTGGACATTTAGTAGGAGTTACCATTGTCTCTTGGTGTCTTGTTACATTGTTAAATTCAATTGATTATTTCCACTGAAATAAAGGCCGAGAACTCAAACAAAATGAAAGACCGTTTAATAGAGTTAATTACAAAAGTATTTGTTAAGTAACTTGACTTAATTGCCTACACTGTATTTTTTTGTTTTATCTTTTAAGTTCTAAGAAGAGTGAAAGTTACCTTTTTAGATACTGTTTTGCGAATAGAACATGTGCCAGAGAACTCAAAAAGTGGAACTGCACTTGAAGTCAGAATTGAAAGGTAAACATTTTTTTCTTTAATCTGTAGATTTTTTTTTCCTAAGGCACTTTTTGCCATTTCTTGCAGAATACGTTTCATTCATGCACACATTCTTAGTATACAGTTAGACACTAGCTCTTGAGTACCTCTTCTGAGTGGAGCATTTTCTCCACTCAGTTTCCACTTAACATCTTTACACTAAGGTTATTCAACCATCGAATTAGAAGAGTTCTGGGTTATTTTCCCAAATAAAAGTGTTCATCAACTTCCACAGTTAATGAATACCATTTCTTAGGTGTTCAACAGTTTTGTGTAGATTGCTGGCAAATTGGGCCATCTCTTCAGTTTAGAAAAGAGACCAACCCTTTTGAGTAAGACACTTCAGATCTTTTCAGAAAGAAAGGTACACTCCTGGGGAAAAAACCCCAAACAAACAGAAAGAGTTTAGGTCCTTTGTGAGCTTTAGCTTTCAAAAGAGCCCACGTGACTTCTGTAATTATTTTGAGCTTAGAATACTCTACACATTATTAAAGTAGATTTTTTTTTAACCTATAGGAGAGTGTAATCATACTTTTTTGCAAAGTACTGAGATCAGTACCAGATAAAACTGATGCTTACTGAGAGTTGCTAATGAAGTATATTTGGTTTTAAACATTTGAAAGCTTCAGGTTGTTAAGCTCAGTTCAGGAAAGATTAATAATCAATTGTGATTATTTTTCTAATGGAAGTCCATTTCCAGAACAAACCTTTTGTGATTTAAAAACTATATTGAAACAAACTGTTAAATAATGTGTTGTTTTGACGTTTGATAGCATTTATTTATGGAAAAGTATGTATATTTTTACACTGCAAATACCATCATGTGTAGACTTGCATCTTCTAAGAGTTGACTGTTTATACTGTCTCATAAGAAATTCAACATCATAGAAATTCTACAGGATTGTAGCATATTCTCTCAATTTTCAACTTTCATTTTGACAGAATGTTACTTTCAAGTAGTGCTATTAGACAACAGAAAAGTATTAGATGGCAGAGTTTTAAAAAGTTAAGATTCTGAAGGAAGAATTGTGTGTGTCCTGATGGAAAGATAAGTTTAGAAGCATTGGGCAGACTCCTTCACCTTCTGATCAGATTAGATGTAGGGACTAGGATAATACACTGGGGTATGTTTGCAGTGGAAGCATGTCTCAATTTTCCTGTGGTGTTCCATAGAAAATTTAAGGTTTCCACCCATTCCCAGAGAGTGGTGGATTTTCCATTTGTGACAGTAAATAGTATGAAGAGAGAGAGCATGTACAAACTTAAAGGCTAAGGAGCCCAATTTGTAGGCACCCACCATCTTTATTTCCTTTCTTTTGTCTCTCAGAACTATGTACTGTGATGAAACTGCAGATGAGTGCTCTGGAATAAATGTACATCAGCCCACGGCTTTTGCTCACAAGTTACTGCAGCTCTCAGGTGTCTCTTTCTTCTGGGATGAGTTTCCTGCATCAGCAAAGTCCTCCCCAGTGTGTTCAGCTACACAGCTGGTAAAATTAAATACGTTATCTGAGGGTGTAAACTGATGAAAGAATATATTGTTACACTAATGTACTAGGTTAATTCTAAAGGATTCGAGAGTTGAACTTTTACTTGAATCTATGTTTGATAAGTTTTATAATCAATTGCTGTTGATTTGAGGAGGGGGAAGGAAATGGAGACTTTAGGACTGAGTAAAGTTTAGGACATATTGTATTGGAATCTGGTTGCAACTTTAAGAAGTACTCTACAATTCAGTGTTCTGTGGAAACTTGCTCCTCTTTTTTGCAAAGGCCTAAGGCTTCACATTTTACATGCTTTGTTTTTTTCACAGTTATCAGTACATGTTTTCAATGCCATTATCATATTTATAGTTATGTAAAATGATTATTTGTGTGATATGCTTATTTGAAATGCTTCTTTTTTTTTTTCCTTGAGAAATGGGGTACATTCTTATTCTTTTCTCTGTAACGTTTTAAGGCAACTGAACCAAAGCTTTCACCTAGCTGGAATCCAAAAATCATTTATGAGCCACATCCCCAATTAACAAGAAACTTACCAGAAATTACTCCTTCTGACCCTGTCCAGATCTGTAAGCTGATTGGTAGAATGGAGTTGAGCCTAACATTAAAGCAAAATGAAGTACTTCCTGGAGCTAAGGTTAGTCATGCTTTCCTGGTCTTTAACTAAATTAATAGTTCTGTAGAATTTTTTTTTTTCTACTACATCCAGAAATTGGTAAGATTCTCAAGGGAGCAGAATACACTTAGTTTCTTGTATATTCTGTATATTCAAACTGAAATCCATTAAAGGAGAATTTCTGTATGTTAGAAAGAGACTTAATTTAAGTGTTCAACAAAACAAGTAGATGTGGTGCTTCGATATGTTTTAGTGGGCAGAGTGGTATTCAGTTGAAGGTTGATCTTGATGATCCAACCTTAATGATTCTCTGATTCCATTCTATGAATTTATGTATTTGAGTTACTTCTGAGAAAATTATTTTGTTTTCATGAAACTCCCGCTACTATCCATTTGTCCTTTTTTCTTGTGGCACTATGACTGATTTGCCTACGTATGTGTGGAATGTGTAACTGGTGGTTGATTAAAATCACTTTGATTTTAAAAGGGTGTCATTCTCTTCAACAATTACAAGTAAACTGTAAATGATTAATTAGGTTAAATAATTTCAGACTTGCAGCATTATAAAACTAACATGAACACTTCTACTTGTGAATTTTTATATTCAAATCTACAGTAAATCAAATAATAATGCCATAATGAAATACTAAAAATTTTTATTTATATAAATGTAATATTTATTTTACATAAAGATGCAGGAAGCAAAGCAGTTGAAAATAAAGCCCTATTTTCCTAAAAAAGTGTGAGTATATAAGTAAAGTTGTGTAAATATATTCCCCTTGTCTCCAAATTTAACACTGGCTATTGACCTGTCTTGTATACCATACTATATTTCATAGAAAGCATAAGGTTTCTACTGGAGTAGAAAAGTTTTTTTTATGTCCAGCAATTTCTAGTCAATCTTTAACTTTTCTTGTTAATTCAGTTAAGAAGGGGCCTTGAAAAGTTAAATAAAATTTCGTTTGGTGTGAAGTAGAAAAATGCTGGCTATTTCAAAAGCATGAATAGTTAATGCAGTTAACACCCTTAAATTAATTGATATCCAGATGTTGCTGAAGATTTCCCACTTTTATGTCATTAGATATATTTTAATATAGCTGACAGAAAAATGTCAAGGGCAGAGTTGAGAGTAACTTTTGTTTTATACGAAATGTTCAATATAACGGAAGACTAAGCAGTGATCTCTGCAAGTTGTTCTTGAGTACAGGTAAAAATGCTGTTAGGTTAAATAAGAGTAACAACCAAACTAGTGAATGGATGTAATACTACATGACAAAATTGAAGAAGGAGCTGATTTTTGGTTTATCGGGTAGAGTTCATGCATATTAAAAAGAACATGGATACAGTATATTGCTTAGTCTAGTTTCAACTCTTTTTTTTACTCTGGAAACTGAATTATGTTCGGACAGACGTTTCAAGCATGTAAAATACAAAGTGCACTTTGTAACTTCATGTCGAGTGCACACATTTCAGTAGTGTCATTTTCTTACAACTCTTTCCAAAGGATGGAAAAAATAGAGAACAGTACACAGAACTAAATGATCATTTATTTTCCCTGCTTAGGTAAATATTCCCTTAAGGTCCTTATGAGCAAAAGTATATTTTCATATAAATGCACTCATTTGGGTGCCTGTTTTGTTTGGTTGTTTTTTTTTCCCATGAGTGGGGTGGCTTGACCTTGGCTGGCTGTCATACACCCATCCAGCTGCTCTCACTAACACTTCTCAACTGGACAGCGGGAGAGAACGTGATGAAAAAGCTCGTAGATTGAGATAAAGGCAGGGAGGGCACTTAGCAGTTACTGTCACAGGCACAACAGACTCAACTTGGAGAAAATTAATGACTTTATTGCCAAGTAGAATGGAGTTGAATGCTGAGAAACAAACTAAACTAGCTTTCCCTCACCCGTTTTTCTACGCAGGCTTAACTTCGCTTCATGATTCCCAACTCCTCTACCTCCTCATCGCCCTGAGCAGTGCAGGGAGGATGGGGAATTGAGGGGTTGCACTCAGTTCATAACAGTTCCTCTCTGCTGCTCCTTCCTCCTCACCTTTTCCCCTACTGCAGTATGGGTCCCTCGTGTTGCATTCTTTCACAAACTGCTTCAGTGTGGGTCCTATCCGTGGGCTGCAGTCCAGCAGGATAAACCTGGTCCCACACGAGTTCTCCATGAACGATGGTTCCTGACATGAGAACCTGTTCCTGTGTGGGCTCCTCTCCATGGGCTGAGCACCTCCAGGAACCTGCTCCAGTGTGGGCTCCCCACAGGCTTCCTCCTGGGCACATCTGTCTGCTGCAGAGTGGGACTTGCATGAGCTGCAGTGTAGATTTCTGCTCTGGTGTGATCTCTTCCAGAGGCTCTGGCAGCTGAAGCACCTGCTTCCCCTCTTTCTTCTCTGACCTCAGTGTTTGTAGGATTGTTTCTCTTGCTGTTTTTTTTCCTCACTGCCCATGCAGCATTTTGCCCTTCCTTAAATATCTTTTCGAGGAGTCACTACCAGCTTTGCTGGTAGGCTCAGCTGTGTCCTGAGGTGTGTCCTTTACAAGTCTGGCTGGAACCAGCTCTAGGCAGACCCTGACCTCTTGGCCCTGCAGCAAAACCTCGCTGCCAATACCTTGCCACACCCAATACAATGAGTAATAATCATGAATGGACCAATGTCTGGGAGTACAGGATTCTTGAACTGAAAGATAAATCCATAGAAGTCTTTAAGATAGTTCTAGTTTGATTTGCTTTCTAAAGCTAAGTGGCTTGCTTTGTTGCATACCATCTCAAAACAGTTGGACTTCTGTAAACATCCCACTCGTCATGAAGAAAGTATGTGAATTTATTCATCTGTATACTAAAGAGATGTCCTGAAGAGACCCTTCACAGTTTTAAGGTCTATTTCAGAAGGTGCTGATGTCAATATTTTATAATTAGTATGTAATAACTAACATTATATAGTTATTTATTTATGGAATTATTAAAAGGAAAAAAATTAGCAGATGAACGAAATTCTTGAGTTTTTCTCATCTGAGATTGTGTATTTATTTTAACCTAATAGTGATGCATTTGCATTTATCCTGCCAAGCTACAGGTTGGAAGCAATACACAATTAAATTTCTAGGTGTTGTGCAGAAAATGAAGATACTGCTGGAATGGCTATATTTACATCAAAAGTGTAAAAAATCTTTTATCAAAATACTTGATTCAAGACTTGCAGAGAAAAATTCCTTCAGTGTTCTTGAAAATGTTCTTCCTTTTTCTTTTTAGTTGGATATAGATGGACAAATAGACTCTGTACATCTATTTCTGTCACCAAGACAGGTGCATCTTCTTTTGGACATGGTAGCAGCTATTGCTGGACCAGGCAAGTGAACATTCTGTAAAATTTAAATATGTATTGCAATGGCCAAAAAGTAAACTTTGCAAGATAAATGAATTTCCTTAGTGGAAAAAAATATTTGTGGTGAGTTATTATGAATGTTTATCTGATATTAGCAAAATGTTTTGTAGCTGCTCTGAATTAGGGCTATGATCAATTTATTGATTTCAGTTGCAAATTGTAAATGCTAGTAATGAAAAGAATAACAAATAAGGCTTGACAAGTACTATATAATAGGACAAGACATGAGAAAATTCTAAGTGGAGAAAATCAGGAGACCAAACCAATTGTGGTTCTTGTAGTGCTGTTTCATGAGAGTAGCTTACCTTCTTTGTCCTATGCTTTAGTGGCAGGCACAGAAATCATAGAGCAGACAGTAACTGAGTCTGTTTGTCCATATTGGTGAAGAATTAACAGCAGTGTTTGAACTACTGCATTGGAAGGATGAGGGTGTTTTGGTTTGTTCCCCCATCTACCTCATGTAACAACAATTATTAGGGTAGATAGTTAATCTTTTCAAAAAGATTTCCCATGTCCTGGGTAGGTAATTAATATTCTTCTGATACTGATATATTTGTTGTGCTGGACTTGTTCATTGGACAACTGGAGAAGTATTACATATAGCTTCCCATGTGTGTGTGATCTTCAAACCTGAAATTTTAAAACTTCCTTAATAGTAAAACGTTTAAGAGATTGTGATCTTAGTCCCTAAAGCTGACTGAGAAATGTATGCTAATATTATATGTGACTTGCATATATGACCTTAAAATATTTTCTTCAGACTTGAAGTTAATGAATGCTGGGGAGAGAGTAGTCTGTTCTGGACAGGTAAAATCTTCAAACCAAGAAAATGCACATAATACACATCTGATGTACAACAGACATGTGTTTGTATATACATATATCTACAGATGCTTATATATACAGCAATGGTTAATTTTGAGATTAATTTTTGGATTTTCTTAGGGATACTGTTAAGGAAATTACAGTGGGCTTTCTGTGCTTTTTTTTTTGAATGCAGAGAGTCTAAACAGAATAGAATTGTCAAATAAAGATAGGAAGAACCGACCAATGCAACAGGAGGATGAGTACCGGATCCAGATGGAGTTGAAACGTTATTTAAGAAAAGAGTCTTTATCTGCAGGAGCATCATCTGAACAAAGCTTCTATGAGACAGAGAGTGCCAGAACACCTTCTAGTCGTGGCAAGTATAAAAGACAATGCAACATAGCAAATAATCAGTGTTAACATTGTTTAAATTGAGTGTTCAGCTTTGAATCTTACCAACTTATGTACTGAAATAGCATTACAATTATTTGATGTCAAAGTTATTGATTGTAAAGTTGAATAAAAAATTAACTATTTTAGGTATCGGGCTAGACTTGATTCAGTATTTCATTAAAACTGTTCGGTTTATATTAATGTGCACACAGCAAATACACATGCAGTGTAACATCTTTTCAAATGTATGGTTGAGGAAATTACATCTAGAATAGAAATTACATCTAATAGTTGTATTTTCTTGATATTTTTATTTCAATTTTTTTTGCTAATTATTTTTAATGTGAAAGTGGGAACTTTGATTTGTCAAAAGGAGAGTGCATGAATTTCTATAAAATATGCCACGTTGAACATGAAAATGAGACATTTAACTGTTTTAGTGGTCATTAGGGTTTTTTCCTTTTGATTTTTATTTTTATTTAAATCTCTCTCCATAGACACTACTAGTCCCAGCATCAAGAAACCTTGGAACTTCTGTAAATAATGTATTTAGCTGCTTATTCTGTCTAGCAGTTAGATTTGTAAACTTAGGAATACATTTTTGTTAAAAGTAAAGTGATTTTTTTAATAAGAAAATAACTCTTTACTATCTATGGTTCTTATTAGAAGAAGAAGTTTTCTTCTCAATGGCTGAAATGGACATGTCTCACAGCCTTTCCTCCCTTCCACCTCTTGGAGACCCTCCAACCATGGATCTAGATTTGTCTTTAACCAGTACATATACAACTACACCAGCAGGATCTCCACTGAGCACTACAGTGGTATAGTATTAACTACATTTAAAATCTTTTTAAAATTAACAGTTTTGTCTGACACCATTGCATAACTGTTGCATTCTTTACATTATCGAGAACTATGGAAAAATTCTAGAACAATGGAAAGTGTTTAGAGCTGATAATATTCCTTTTCTGCTATGGAAATTGAAATGGAATGGTTCTCATTTATTTGGCCACTAAGCTAAGAAATGTATTTTCAAATGCCTTGAAGCTTATGTGGGATGCTTTGTGATTCATTTTCTTTTTAATAGCTGCATGTTTGCCACCTGGGTTTTCTTTCAGTGTAGACTACGCAGGCTGTGACAATAAAAAGTACAAAATTGTTGTATTACATTATTCCTCAAACAACATAAAAACTTAAGTTGTTGTTATCACCATCTTTGCTAAATTTTTTATATGCCTAGTGTTTTGCTTAATGAAAACCATGGAGAATAGTTGAGCATATATTCTCCCATTTCTCTGTAAAAAGCACATGAAGTGCAACTTCAGCTTTAAAAATATGTGGGTGCAGAAGATCATAGAATTAAAAAGCATACCCCAAAGTGAAGCAAATCTACATTAATAAGTTGAGCACTAATACCCCATGAAATGGCATGATGTTGATTATACATATTGGGTTTTTGTGTTTCTTTACCTTATTATTTATATTTGATCTAATATCTAACAGCTCTTTGCAAATTTAAGGTCCTATATGTTTTTGTTCTAGCTTCAACCAACTTGGGGTGATTTTCTTGATCGTAACAAACAAGAATTACAGCCTCCAAGAGGTTCTTCGCTGGCAGCCAATATGGTTCACCAGACTTCCTTAAGAAGGACATGTAAGTAACAATAGCTAGGTAATTCTGAAAATGAATTGTTATGCAGCAACTTGGTAAAAAGAAATGAAAATCAAAAGTAAGATGATTTTATAAATGTGTTATTGCTGAAAAATTACGTGAACTTAATTTTGTATTTCAGCTATTCCATCCAGATCTGTTTCTGTGGATGAATCCAGACCTGAGCTGCTTTTTAGACTGGCAGTTGGAACTTTCTCAGTGTCTGTACTTCATATTGACCCTTTACCCCCACCTGAAAGTTCACTGAACCTTAACCCATTGACACCAATGGCTCGGGATTTCTTTGCCCGAATAGAAAAGATCGAGCCAGTTAAGTTTTCAACAGAAGATTTTCTGTCCTTCCGAGAAGTATTTGCAGAAGCTTGTTCTCATGATCACCTTAGGTATAACTTTGCTTCTTAATAAATATAATTAACAAAAATATATTTTAAGTAAATTTGAATTAAGTAAGTTTATTTCCATAGGAATTGTGTCACTTAATATTTGAATTGCATTAGACTTCTTTATTAATTTCAAAATAGTCTTAAATTTTGACATCTGTTTTCCAAGACTTTTTTTTAAATTAAGAAAAAAAATATTATAAACATTAAAATCACCTAGCTTTTTAATAGATGAATTAAACTAGGTACAGTTTCTACCACAGAAGTCTAGAGTCAAGAATCATTAAGATAATTATTGCTTTAGAAACAGCTGTGTTTTACGGGACTATTTTTATTCCACTGTAGTGATTTCTGCTTGAAGGAGCTTAGGAGTTTACTTAGTGCAAAATAGTGTATTAATAGAGATAAAATATAAGTGTGAACAAAATCATAAAGTCAGTCAACGGTCCTTTTTTGCAGAAGTTTTTACCATCCCAGTACAGTGTATGAAGTAAGATATGTAAGGGTGTATATACCTTTTCTTACCTTATGCATGTAATTTAGACTTTCTGAGACATTTGACTTTTTCATTGTCTGTCTAAGGATGTTAGATTTATGTGACTTGCACCTCTTAGGTGTCTAAAATGTTCTTTACAAATTTCTCTATGTTGACGATTGCTGAATGTGTAACCTAAGTGAGCTCCATTGTCTTCATTGCAAAATCTGTTATAATTAGATATTTTCATATTTTTGAAGAAATTATAGTTCCTTTAATGATTTTAAAAGGATTATAGTGATCCTATTTTGTATATTTAAATCTTGACTTTGTTATTTTTATTGACTTTGATATTGTTTTGTGCTACTTTTCATAATTCATGATTTTAATAATTAGGTTTATAGGTACTGGCATCAAAGTGTCTTATGAACAAAGACAAAGGACTGCCTCTCGAAGTTTTAGTACTGATTTATCCATTGGTAATATGGAGTTCCTGGAATGCCTTTTTTCTACTGACTTTCATTCCAAGCAGCCTCACTATACAGAGGTATGTAAAATATAGAGAGAGTTCCATAGCAAAGAAATTTTAATTGTATAACTGACAATGCTACATTTTAAAATGGTTGTAATTTAAATTTTTCTTGATTTTTTTTTTTTTTTTTTTTTTACTATTTTAAATATGTTATGGTTTTAAGATACACCTTCAATTTTAATTCTGAGCTCAAATAGTGAACCTGACTGCTGTCATAACTGACAGGAATAGCACCAAGCAGCCAAACTTCACTAGTTTACTTCTTTTAAATCTGCTTAATGCAGTTTGGGAATTAGAGTAAATGTTTTCTAAAAACTAACCAGTAGAGTTGAGCAATGCAAAGGTTTCTTTGCATGATGATTATTCTTCCATCTCTTTTAATGGTCAGAGACATCCAATAAAGTAGCTGAGTAAGTGCATTGAGTAAGCAGTTGGGCTGGGGCTCTGTTCACTGACTTGAATGTGGGGTTACCTACTGTCTGTTCTAGGTAAAATGTCATAAATACCTTCTCCTGTGTCAACTCTTTCCTCCTTATTTATTAAGTACTTTTAATACTTTTTTTTTTTCTAAAGCTGCTGACATTTCATTCTGAAGAAAGAAACGATTCTCATACTGTGCCATGCCTTCAGCTGCATTATAAGCATTCAGATAATAGAGGACCTCAGGTAAGGTGGCAGATTTAAAAGACCAAGTTTCTGTGTAATAACCTTTGTCTAATTTGGTTTATTTGAACAGAAAGCTATCTAACTTGTAAAACAGAGAGTCCTTAACTCTCAGTTATTATGATTTGTTTCACTGTGTTGTTGTTGTTAAAGATTTTACTGCTTTTTCTCTTTCTTTTTAGGGTAGTCAAGGGAGACTCAGTTCTGTACCACAGAAGGCAGAGTTACAAATAAAGTTAAGTCCAGTATTTTGTGAGCTGGATATTAGTATTGTAGACAGATTGAATTCCTTACTTCAGCCACAGAAACTAACTACAGTGGAGATGATGGCATCTCACATGTATGCTTCTTACAATAAGCACATAAGTCTGGTAAGTTAAAAGAGAGGTAGATTAATAAACTTGCTGGGTTTTTTGCAGGAGGAAGGCAGGATGGCACTAAGCCTGACATTGCTAGTTCTAATTGATTTGTGGTGGTTGAGGGTTGTTTTTTTAATGTGAGAGGGTTTTTGTTTCTTTTTGTTCTGTTCTTTTGTTTGTTGTTGTTTTTCTTTTTAACTTCTGACATAGAACAGTAGCCATGTGACATAGGTTCTCATTTTAGATTCAGTGATTGCATGTTTAATAACACACCTAAAGACAATGGTAGATGCTTCACAAACTGCATAAATTCTCAGCTTCTTGAAGCAGACAGAACTGAGCCAAAAAGAAGAATCTTGACTGACTTCTCATCCCTGAACTCTCTCATCATGCTCTCCAGCAACTGATGTAAACTGTTGCTGACAATTACACTTCTGTATTGAAATCTTTGTGTCTCAGTCAGCCCAGTTGCTTCTACCTCTCTCTATCTGCTTTTGGGGTAGGTCACAGAGAGGATGGGGAGCATATGCTTTGCATTCTAGTGACTGGGGACCAACAGAAGTTTTAGCACAATAACATTAAACTGGACTACTTTTCTTGAAGTACTTGAGGAATGATTAATACAATTAACTACACAGCAACAAATATCTTCATGAAATTTTATTGCTGCATCGATCGATTCCAAAAAAATCAGTTTTCAAACCTATTTAAGAGAACCCTTATTTAAAGAATGTGTAAGACATCAATCATTTCTATCAATATGGTTGTGTCCTGAGAGTTTGATTCTTTTCAGTGTTGGTCAGCCTCAGGGAGGCTTTGAAGGACATGTCAGTGACAGGAGCTGGATGACATGACTTGCTGAAAGGGGCAAATACACAGGATAATAATTCCTGGCTTCTTAACAGTCACAATTTTAAAAAAAATATCTGAGACACAGTATTTCCCAACTGCAGCTGAGTATTGTTTGGTACTTTGTCTATAAGAGAAAAAGAAAGATGCAAAAATAGGCTTTTTTTAAAGGATTGCTAACTTCTGCAAATACTTGACTTCTAACTAAATAGAATGTTAACAGCACTAATAATAGAAAAATATTCTAAGACTAATAGCTGTTGGCCTTAATGTATGTTTTCTGTGATACATAAATAATATTTTTCTTTTTTAGGTATTGCATCAAAAAACTTTCCCCATAGTCACTTTTAATGCAATTTTCTCTAATTTAGATTTTTTTTTTCCATGTACTTTGTTTTTTAGCATAAAGCATTTACTGAAGTTTTTCTGGATGATTCACATACTCCTGCAAACTGTAGAGTTTCAGTTCAAGTCACTGCCCCAGCATTAAATCTCTCTGTTCGCTTCCCAATACCTGACCTACGGTCAGATCAAGAAAGAGGACCATGGTTTAAGAAATCACTTCAGAAGGAGATTCTTCATCTTGAATTTACAGATATGGAATTTAAAACTGAATTTATAGGAGGGTCAACTCCAGAACAAGTTAAATTAGAGCTTACCTTTAAAGAGCTAACTGGTAAGAATGTTAACGTTATATTAAATGTTCTTTTTATTTTCCCAGATACTGTGTAGTTGAGAAAAAGGTCCTCTCATATGGATTAACATAGGGAGTGTCTTTCCACCTGAATTTTTGAGTAGATATCTCTGCTGTAGTTTAGTGCTCTGTACTAAATACCAACATAAGTGAAAACAAAATAATAGGAGGCTAATGTATCTAAGTGTAGTGCTTGCATTCTTAGTTTTTGAGATCTGAGCTAGTATTTCTTCTATTTTCTGTTACATTGTTATACCAGTTTGTTTCAGTTTCATGTATCTCTCTGTTCTCTATCCCAGGTAAGTTTTGTAGATTCGTAGGAGATTACTACAGCTCTGTAAGTTAGAAGTCTAGTCTAGAAATGAAGAATCCTTGGATGAAGGGATAGAATGCACCCTCAGCAAGGTGCTGGCCACACAAAATTGGGGGGAGTGGCTGATACACCTGAAGGCTGTGCTGCCATTCAGCAGGACCTTGATAGGCTGAAAAGTTGGGTGGGGAGAAACCTAATGAGGTGCAATAAGATCAAGTGTAGGGCACTGCACCTGGAGTGGAGTAACCCCAGTATCAGTACAGGTTGAAGGCTGACCTGCTAGAGAGCAGCTCTGGAAAGAAGGACCTGGGAGTATTGGTGGATGACAAGTTGACCCTGAGCTGGCAAGTGTGTCCTTGGGGCCAAGGAGGGGCAGGGGTGTCCTGGGGTGCATCAGGAAGAGTGTGGCTGGCAGGTCAAGGGAGCTGATCCTCTCTCTCTGCTCGGCTCTAGTGAGGCCACATCTGAAATGCTGTGTCTGGTTCTGACCTCCTCAGTACAAGGAAGACAAGAAGCTGCTGGAGAGGGTCCAGCAGAGAGCAATAAAGATGATGAGGGATCTGGAGTATGTCTCATATGAGGAGAGACTGTGGGAGCAGGGTCTCTTTAGTCTGGAGAAGAGAAGGCTGAGAGGGGATCTCATTAATGCATATAAACATCTCAAAGTGACGTGCTAAGAGGATGGTGCCAGAGTCATTTCAGTGGTGCCCAGAGACAGGACAAGGAGTAATGGACATAAACTGAAACACAAGAAGTTTCACCTCAGCATAGGGAAGAACTTTACATTGAAGGTGGCAGAGCACTGGAACAGGATGCCCAGGGAGATTGTGGAGTTTCCCTCTCTGCAGATATTCAGAACCAACCTGGATGTGTTCCTGTGTAACCTGCTCTAGGTGACCCTGCTTTGGCAGAGAGGTTGGACTAGATATTCTGCAGAGGTCCTTTCCAATCCTAACGATTCTGTGATTGATTCCCTAAATAACCATCGAGAAAACTGTAATGATTTCATGCCTCTTAATATCTCCCAAAGTAATAAATCTGTGAAACCGATTTATATTTGCAACCTTCTCTGCTTATGTGTCATTTCGTGTACTTATCAAGACTGTGACAAAATGTAGTGATGCTATAAGTGTAAATGCAGATATCTGTGCATTAGAAATGTCTTGTTTTCTAACTACTGCTAGCTAGAAAATAATGTGAAATAATTTTTGTTTCTAAAAGTTGATATTTTTTGGAGGAAGAGACAACCAAATTTGCCTGAGTAACTTAGTAAATAGCATTGACAATTGCTAGTTAAACTCTAGCCTGAGGAGCAGCTAACCTGAAGTTAGCAGTTAGCATTCCTGTGTTAATTTTTAAAAAATCTCTTTCTATTCAGGTTCATTTGAAGAAGATAATGCAGAAACACCAATAAAATTTTTTCAAGTGTCTGGTGGCACAGATGGAGATGTAACATCGTCATCAGACAATTTTGACTGGCCTCGGTAAAAAAACATTTGGGGTTTTTTAATGTGGGTTGTTTAGATTTTTAAGAAGCACTGTTATTTTTGTGATTTTAATGCAGAATGCCCGTGTGATAAATGCTTGAAAATAATTTGCAAAGAAAGAACATGTAACTTGTGAAAAGACCTCAAGAATTTATGAAAAACCAAAAAGAAGTATAAAAAACTCCTTGAGTAAATGTCAGTGAAAGTTAGATGAATTATTAGACTCAAAACTTTCTCCCATTTTTTTTGTCACTTTACCTCTTCTCCTACTTCTGCATTCCAGACTGAATACCAAACAACCCCCCATCAAGTTTTACCTAAAAATATAACAATAATATGTTAATATTAATGTTATATATTTATAATATATTAATAGTAATTATATAATTATCTCATAAATTATATTATATATTAATAAGCCAGAATAACAGTAAGAATAACTATATTAAGACTGAATTATTGCAGCTTGTATCACATGCAAGGCAATTCAGTACATGGGACTTACTGAAGAGAAGGACCTAGCAACTGAAGCATGTAATAAGATGTTTGAAGAGGCAATTTTAGATTTGCTACAGAATTTGCTGTGTACTTTTTATACCACAAAATTTAGTGGCTTCCTGACAGCAAGTTTGTAGGGAGATTTTTTCTTTTATAATGGCACAAATAAATTTTTCTGTAACAGTGTTTACATATAATATACTGCATCATGCAGTAGAGTATTTTGAATAGCTGTTAATGATCTAGTGAAACAAGCATTATTTTGGGAGAGTGCCAGATTTTTCTTAAAAAAAGGTCACCTAGATGGTCACCTGATGGAATTGAAAAAAGCAGACAGCAACATTTTCTTTCATCTGATGGTTGTTTTTCCATGTCCCTTTGTATATGTAAGTTTGGTTTTTTTCTTAGCAGTATGGCTTTGGGTAATAAAATATGTTACTATCTAATAAAAAAAATCCCTGGTCTTTGAGCTATTTAGTCTGTGTGTATTTAGTGGCAAGCTAGTAGAACTAGGGGACATGTGACAGTGCTTAAATATAAACATTATAAGCATATCTAATGGCTTATTCTGCATAACTTCTCCAATGTCAGGATTGTATTGAAAATAAACCCTCTGGCTGTGCACTCTATTCTGGAAAGGATAGCAGCTGAGGAGGAAGAAGGTGATAATAACTTTCAAGAGGAAGAAGAAGGAGGGTCTCATTCTTTGAAGGATGTCTGTGATATTAGAAGACCAGAGCCTTCTCCTTTTTCTTCTCGTAGGGTCATGTTTGAAAATGAAGAGGTACTATAAAGTTTTGTTATTGCTTTGTGCTTATGGTAGACAAAATTAATACATCCTCACTACTTGATGTACATCTTCTGACTACCACTTTTGCGTTTTGGTTTTTTTAACTCAAGAGGTTTTTTTTTTTTTCTTTTTTTTTTTCAGATGGTGATGCCAGGAGATGTAGTAGAAATGACTGAGTTTCAGGATAAAACAATTAGCAATTCTCATTATGTACTGGAACTCATGTTACCAAACATTCACTTAACATTACCGAACAAAAGCTTTTATGAAAAGCTTTACAACAGGCAAGTATGATAATTGTTTTTGCTTGGTTATCATGACCTGCACTCTTAGTTCTGTATTCACCGTTGATAAAAGCAATTGAATAAGCAGATGTAGCACTTGTTTAGTTTATTTAAGAACATAAAATGCTATATAAATATTTTTTCAAGTTAACATCAGAGACAGCATTGTCTCAGGCGTCTGGTCGGTGCCATGACAGCCATCTGCTAAGAAGTGTTTGGCAGATATTGTGAACAAAGGGTAAAGCTAAACAGTCCTTTACTCTCACTGAGTACTTGGTTCAGATCTCTGTTTGCAATATTTCATTTTGCTCTAATCTTTCTGATTTCTTCTTTAAGTAGATCATTGTACTTCAGAAACTGTTGCACTCCATCTTATTGTTTCCATCTATACATCTAGAGTTTACAAGGCAGTCAGGGGAAAAAACCCTAACCCAATTTTGTAAGCATTACAAAGGTTTACAGAAGTGTAGAGAGAACAATTCCAACTTACAGATGTGTGTTCAACTTTTATTTTTGTTAATTTTCTGTCTGAAAGACAACAAAATACTACTAGATTGGTACTGTGCTATGTTAGATGCAAGAGAGGTGCCGACCTGTTTTAGCCTCTGATAGGTATTACTTCACTTCTAAGAGTATTTTTCACTTCCAAAGTGGCAAAGCTGATCCTTTTTTTGAATATTCTGTTGGAATATTTCTACACTGAATGTCACATTTGTCTTTACCATAGCAGACACACTCACCTGAAATCAAAAGAACAAATTTTTCCTGCAACTTGGTTGAAAATTGATGTGATGAAAGTAGGATTTTCTCACCCCCTCCAACCTACTGAGCTAATATGTACCTACTTATAGAGGCTTTCGTGTCACTGTCAAATGTTAGACTGATATGTGTGTATAATAATTACAGAATAAAGGTTACTTGCATTATTTATTACTTTTACACACTAATATATTTCTTGTGCTCTTGAACTTTTTTTCTCTATCTTGTTTATGGAATCTGAAATCTGTTATATGAAGTCTGCAAAGAAAATATGCTTGACTGACTTTATATAAAGTGGGAACATAGTCATATGTTTTGTGTAATGACAATGTATTTCTTCCTAGGATCAGCAATGATTTATTGTTGTGGGAACCCACAGCTCCATCTCCTGTAGAAACATTTGAAAACCTTTCTTATGGTGTTGGACTATCTGTGGCCAGCCAGCTCATCAACACTTTCAGTAAAGACAGCTTTAGCCAATTTAAATCTGCAGTTAATTATGGTAATACACTTAATAAATAATCTAGACCTATAGTGATTTAGAAGCATAATTGGCTGAAGTGATTAAGCTGTTAGTGGAAAGATTTTGTGAACTTAGGAGAAAACATAAACCAAGAAGACAAAATGTAGATTACTGTTTATTTGAGTAAAATAAGTGTGAAATTGAATTGCATTACCAATGGAAAAATGAGTTATTGACGTAATATATGTACTAGTTAGAGAATGAGTTGAGTTGTTTTTCATTTTGTCTATTAGATGATGAGAGTGGATCTGAGGAAGAAACACTACAGTATTATTCCACTGTTGATCCAAACTATCGTTCACGCAGAAGGAAAAAGCTGGACTCACAGAATAAGAACTCACAAAGCTTTTTGTCTGTTCTGCTGAATGTGACCCATGGATTAGTGTCAGTATTCACAGATGTAAAGGTGAGGCCCTGAGACTGGAAAAAGTTGTTTGTTGTTTTGACCACAGGGTCCCTTCATGCTGTATGTACTTATTTGGAAAGAACAAGTGTTTTTAACAGTGATTCTGTAATGTTCATACTACTATACTATAACTAGGCAATAATGCAATGCAATATTTTGCCAATTGTGTTTACTTTGCTTCACATGAGAATAACTAAAATAAAAGCAGGAAAACATGTACTGGTAGCAAGTTAGTTATGTTAGTTTAGACTGTCTAAATGCAGCAAACTCAGCAAACAGTAGTTTTATCCTTTCTATGCTTCCTTCAGCAGGATGATGGAAATACACTGGAAGGAAAGTACGGTGAATTTTGGTTTGAGTTCAACAGTGGTTCCCTTTTCAGCGTGACTAAATATGAAGGCTTTGAGGACAGACACTATGTGTGTCTCCATTCTAGCAGCCTCAATTTATATCATCAAGGTAGGGTGGCATTGACATGTCTTTGGGACTAAACTTGAAATGAGATAAGTTTTCAGTTTTTTTAGGAGAAAGGCTGTATTTTTTTTTCTTTTTTTTCTTTGATAGTGTATCATTTGGCACAACGGATGTAATTCATGGCTAAACTTTCTAAAGACTACAGTAATGCAACTTTATGATAACTATATTTACTTAGTTTAGCTCAAACTTTTCCTTGGCAACTGCTGGTCTTCATTGATATTGTGATCCTCTGTCAAATTAGCTGTACAGTCTGTTCTTTACCATGAAAGTACTAGCTCCCTACATGTTATTGGTTGTTTCATTCAAAAAGTTACAGGGTACCAGCGTCTGCTGTGTTTTTCCTGGGTAGCTAGTTGTAGTCAGCAGATGAAGAATTTTGACTGTGTAGTTTGTATGACTGGTAGCCCCCATTTAGTTAAACTTCTTAAGGTTTTCCCCTCATATGTTTCTGAATCAGTGGTATTTTCAGTGCAAGGCTTAATTATTGTATGTTTACGGGTTAGCGTGACACTGTCTCATAAAATGGAGACACATGTTCTTATTCTCCATGTAACCTGTTGGAGATCTGTCCTTTATTTCACCTCTGCCGTTTTGTTGGGCAGATAAAAAACTTAAACCCTGTAGTCAGACTGAAGATTTTAGCTTGAACCCTGGTTTTAAATATCAGGATCACCTGTAACCTTCCCTTCACAGTTTTTGGTTGTCAGTGTTCATGACTAACTTTGATAATTAAAATAGTTTTATAAGTGTAAAGCATAAAAAGGATTTTCCTTCACTCTTCCATCAGTAACAACTTTGAAGCCTGAGGTAACTCATTCTAAAATCTCTTTGCAGGTTTGGTAGATGGGGTTGTCCCTTCCTCTGAAGTACGACTGCCCAGCACAATACGTCCCCATTGGTTAGAACCTACTATTTGTTTTTCTGAAGAAGATGGTCTTAGCAGGACTACTTCAGATGGTGTGGGAGTGGATAGTCCAAGTATGCTGACTGTTGCAGTCAAAATCCAGTCAGATAAAGTAGAGAGCAATACAAAGGTTTGTGTTTTTACATTTGTGCTTTTATAAATTACTTGAGTTACTTCAATTTATATGGAAGCATCTAGATGTGGAGTTACAAGGGCTATAGATAAACAAACCATGACATTCATCCTCAAACTGTAATTTTCTGTTAGAATCTTATGGGTGGATTCTAAAATTTAATTATCCGTATAATTTACTAATTCTTCCAATGTTTCACTTTGCTAATCATGCTGCATTTCATTACTGAAGGCATTTCTTTGACAATTTTTTCTGACTTTGTTTGTTTTGTTGAATTTTAATCTGGTGCCAAAACAGACAAGAACAAATATAAAGAGTTAAAAGCTTTCTGCTCAGTTTACCGGCAGTGTCATCTAATAGGCAGCATTTGCTTACCTATTTGGAGTGACATAGCTAAGTAACAGCAGCATTCATTGGTGTGGCTAAAAGATGACCTCTTAGCTGGTGACAAACAGGTTGGAGTTATCTGGAGAAGGAACCTGCAGACCTGTGAAGTGTTGTGGGGGGCTGAACTGACTCAGATTTGAACAGCATAAGAAAGAACTACATTGAGTTGGTACTCCTGCTAATTTCTGGTGAATCCTGGATCGAATGTGCAGGTGGCCTTCCTTCCATCACCACCACAAAACTGTTATTTCTAAACTACGCTGTTGCAAAAGGTATGAGACTGTATTAGCCAGGGTTTCTGTATTGTGAAGCGGAGTTTTTTGAATGCTTAATCCTGGCCCAGTCCTTTCTTCATTTCTATACACTTGGAGATTTCGGGAACAGATACTATTTCATAATCTAAATGCCAAATAGTTACCTATGTTTCATGTAAGCTAAGTCATGCAACTTTGTTGTGCAGGAATTTCTAGTTGCTGTTGGATTACGGGGAGCCACCCTTCAGCACAGAGTACTGCCTTCAGGTTTAAGCTGGCATGAACAGGTCAGATTGCTACAGTTTTCTCAACTACATCTTCAGTTTTAGTCTCATTGTTTTATTGGGTTTGAGTATCAAACTAAACCTTGATATAAAATCTTGGTGTTAAGCCTTGGTGTTAAGCTATGTCTTATTATCATACTCTTCTTTTGAAAGTGTTATTCTTTCTTTCTTGTCTCTTTTTGAGACCACTGATAGGCTGTAGTCTTGCTTTTAAATTATTTCTTGTGTACTCACTTGGTACAGTTCCTCTCATCATCCTAAATCCACTATGTGTCAGAGAGGTTCGGGGTGGGGTGGGGGTTGTTTTGTTCTGTAGTGGTTTGTTTTAGTGTTTGGGTTTTTTCGTGGTTTTGGTTTTGGTTTTTTTTAAGAATTTTCGAAGAAATCTTGGTAGTGCAATGCTATTCAAGTACTTTAATTCTTTAGTGAAAATTCACCCACAAAACAAGCAAAGTACTTGCAGCACTGAAAGCATTTCCCCATTTTTCCCTTCTGTTCACTTTATTTCTCAAGTCTTGTTTCTCCCTTATATGTTCCCTGTTTTGCGTAGTTTGAAGAGCAGTAATGTGGAGGAGAAGACTTAGGGAGGTAGTAAGCAGCAGTTTACACAAACACTTCTGAATGAGGAGAGTTGTACTCACAGGTGTGGATGCAGAGGGACAGCACAGCAGCCAGGGCTGGAGACCCTGTGTGTGTGAACACATGTGAAGCAGGGCATGCCATTAGCATGGTAGCAGTGTAGTTGCATGTAGTTACACCATACTGGATTACAGATAGTAAACCCTGACATTCAAATTTATCCTTCTTATCCTCCAGTATGTATGGTGTGCTTATTTTTATATGCATTGATATTGTATAACTTCAGGGAGCTGAACTTAGGGCTTCAGACTCTGCTGTGTCATTACTTTCTTCTTAGAATGATATTCCTGTGGGTTCGTGTAACCTGCTTTAAACCATGTTCCATATTTGCTTTATGAATTTGCTCAATTAATAATGCACTTGGGAATCTCTTTTGGAGGGTGAGGGGTGAAATAAAAAATTGTCCAAAGAGACAGTTAGAGGAAACAATTAAAAGGCTAGCAGCAGTGGTATGCTCCAGGCTTAGAATAAATGAAGAACTTTTATAGTGTAAGAGATTTGATAAGGAGCTATGACAGATCCTAAAGAGGAGGATAAGTGTTTATTTTATATGGTAATACGTGAAAAATCTGTATGTACAATGCTTGTGCACATATTTCTAGTTCTGAGCATATTTTCCACCCCAGCCCCAAGAAAAAGAATATCTTGAAGTTAACTTTAACAATGTTCAGTATTACAAGAAAAGTTGACTTTTTAGACAGAGAGCAAAGAAAATGATAATACTGTAGTAACAACTGCAAAGAAGGATGAATGAAACTGTATTTTGGCAAGATTTTAAAAATGAATTGTGAGACTTTATATACCACTTGGGTCTTTTCCATACTTTTGAAACTGCAATTTTGATGAGGTTTTTTGCCTTGTTTCCATTCCCTGCTTTTCTATAAAAAAACACTGAGTAAGCACCTTTACATATCTGAAACTGTTCTCTCCTTTTCTTTCTACTAATCTTGTTATTGTCATACCTGCTAGAGATTTTCTTTTTTGCAATAGATGATTGAATATTTATTTAACAGATATTGAACTATTAAAATAATATGTTTTTTGATTTTTAGATTTTATATTTTTTAAATATTTCTGATGAACCTGTTCTGGGATATAATCCTCCAGCTACAATTACAACTTTTCATGTCCACCTATGGAGTTGTGCTCTTGACTACAGGTAAATAAAATGCAAGTGTTTGTCACTTGGTGGCACTGCAGCTATATATTTATTCTTCAGGAATGTCTGAGTTTGCATACTAAAAAGAATATTTATTTAGGCTTTTTGGGAAAAAGTACTTAACAGAAATCCCTTAAACTGGAAGCAATTTAAAGTAGGATATACACTTGCCTAGGCCTGGGAAGATGTAATTAGGTCATCTGCAGGGCTCTGATTGCACTTCTAAATAGGTACAGAGTATTAATTTGTTTTTCCTATTCGTTGTTAGGCCATTGTTTTTGCCAGTCAGATCTCTACTTACTGTTGAAACTTTCAGCATTTCAAGCAGTGTTGCAGTAGATAAATCCTCTTCTACTCTCAGGTATGATTTAAGTGATTGTAATTCATGGAAGCTCCTGTAAAACTTGTAACACCTGCCTGCGTTTTTGACCTTGGAAGCATTCCTGTTGTGTAAATGATCACACTGCTTTACATGTTTTGAAATATACTTTGCTTATGTGTAATCCTTCTGTTTTATTAGGTTAAATAATTTTTTAATATATTTTTTTATTTAGATTACTTTCTTTAACAACCAGCACTTCTGCATTTTAATACGGTTGAAAGATGTCCTGAAATGTTGTTGTGTCCATTTTATTAATTAGAAACACTTAAGATTTCTTAAATATTTGTTATTTGGAAACAGTATATTAATTAATTAAATATTTAGTGATTAATGAACATCTCTGTAACTTTTAATAATTTTTCTTGCAACTTCAGTTGAATATTCATTCTGTTATACATGTTCTGATGTGAAACATTTACGAAGTTGCTTGATTTTATTGATAAAACTTTTTAAATTACCCTTGAAACAAATGTGTATGTTAGCTTTATCAAAAAGAGAAAAAGGCAAAAAAGGAAATAAGTGACAATTCCGTATGTCAAAAGCATTATTTCTTATTCTAGAAAGGATCAAATAGAAAAACTGAAATGCAAACCCAATATAATTAGTGATAGTGAAAATATGTTACAGTAGTTAATTGCCAGTGGATTTGGAAATTATGAAAAGTTAAAGTGAAGAGTTTGCCTTTAAGATACGTTAGGTATATTTGTGTTTTAAAGTATTTTTTTCCTATACCAATTTCTTTTGACTGATTGGTTGTACAGCATTTGTCTAGCATCTTTATCTTGTTTTGTGTTCTAGGATAATTTTAGATGAAGCTGCTTTGCACTTGTCTGACAAGTGCAATACTGTTATGGTCAACCTCCATAGAGGTAAGGATGTTTTAGATGTGACTAATCAATTGTAGAGCCTAAAGAAACAAAATTACAGTAATATTCAGCATATATAAAGGTTTTTGAAGAAGAGGTCTGAGGAGATAAGGAGCAGCAACTTGAATATGAGTGAATGTGTTGATGAACATCTGAGTGCTCCAGTTTAGATTTGTTCAGAAGTATGTCAGAGAAGAGCAACTTGCAATTCCTCCATTATCTCATTAAAGTTCCATAATGGGTATTGGAGAAAAGCATATTTTTAAAAATCTGGAGTTTCGTAGAAAGAAATTTTCATAGAAAAGAGATCTCATTTTATGAGATGTATTCAGAATAGTTGAACTTCAAAGATGCTATATGGCACAGAGTTCTAGGTTCTGAAAAGGATACCAACTGGTTTGCTCTCATTGAAATAGGAAGAACCTTTAAGGACTGAGGAACTTAAATCAGTATTTAACAAATGAATTGGAAAAATAATGAATCCTTGTACCCACAAATGTGTGTATTTAGCTTAGGTGAGAGATCTCTATTAAAGGACACAATAAATGTATGCCTGTTTTGTTTAAACAAGAAAAGAGGGGAAATAAGTTATTTGTGGCACTGAAAGACGAGTACTATGTGAACATGTGTTCTCTTTCTCTAACTTCAACTAAAAAACTGGTGGAATGCTTAGTCACTCAACTTGTGTGTGCCTGTTTCTCTAACTCACACAGATGGGATGAGGATAAATACCTTAAAAGATTACATTGCACACAGATGGTGGCAGTGGGAGTGATATATTGGATTGAAATTATTTGAGTTCTTGATTTGAGTAGCTGAAACTTGAACTCAGAGACTAATCCTCATAAGAGAAGGAAATGTGGAGATAGAAAAGGTTTTGATAAAACCCTTTTTTAATGCTATTTTTGGCAGTGTAATAACAAGAAATAATAAGGATTGTGTTATTATCTTAATATTTTTTCTAATTATAATTTTCAGATTATGTTCGTGTTATGGATATGGGACTGCTGGAACTAACCATTACAGCAGTAAAATCGGATTCTGAGGGAGAAAGAGTAAGTATTTAATCATAGACAAAGTAAAATGTAAAATCTCCATGAGAGATTGTGATTGAAAATTACCTTATTATACTTAAAAATAAACTGAAAAACTTTCCTTCATTTTGCTATTTCTTTTAAATCCTTTTTGCCTAGTTAAGTAAATTAATTTAAAAACAACTGTGTAAAGGTGCTATTTTTAGGGAATCTGAAGTGCATTCTTACCTTTTTGTTGTTGCTATCTAGACCAAACCACGTTTTGAGCTGCACTGTTCCAGCGATGTGATCCATATTCGTACCTGCTCTGATTCGTGTGCTGCACTAATGAATCTCATACAATATATTGCAAGTTATGGTGATTTACATCCACCTGCTAAGACAGAGGTTAAACGTGGAGTTAGCAAGCCAAAAATGAAGGTATAACACGGCAAAATAATATCAACTTAACTTTGTGCTTCTTGGTAATATGTTTTAATTTTAATCCCTATTCTATTTCCAAATAATATGAGATTTCCTGTGAAGAAATTAACAGATTGTATCTAATTTAAAATATATTTAAGAGTAAAATAATGTATTTTTTTTTCTACTTTGGTCCCTGAATATTTTAAAATGTTTTGTACTGTTTACCTGTTGTACTTTATTCTTTTCTAAAGAATGAAATTCTAGGACATATATGAGCTGTCCAGGTACTCTCATTATCTAAATATCCTGAACCAGAATGTTCTAACCTACTCTATGAATTATCTAGCTTGGTGTTTCAAAGTACTTGATTATTTATCAAGTAAAGATGTTTCTTCTCACAGTTTAAGAGCTGTGAATCAAGCTTTTTCTAGCAAAGTCTTTTTCAACACAACATTGCAGTTGTCTTTCAGATGTAACTCCTCTCCTACAGGTAGAGACCTTTAGCCAACCATCTTCCCATGGACCAGTCCTCGCTGAATCAGAGCAACAGATTCTACGGGATTTGATGAGTGATGCAATGGAAGAAATTGAGACTCAACAGACTGCTTCTGCCATGAAACCAGAATCTAATGGTAAGAATCCTCTAAAGGCATAAGTACACACAAAGTACAACCTTTTTGGAAAGAAAGTGGCCTTGAAAGTTTTGTGTACGTAGAGATGGTGCAGTAAGAATGGGAGCAGATACGTATGATGTCTGAAGTTTTCAAACTATGAAACAGATTCTTGCTTTTAATAACAGTAATGCAGAATCTTGTCAAATACACATTACTGGGATACCAAAGCAGCAGGGAAGGAATCTGTCAAGACTCCAAATTCTGTAAGACTGTAAGTTAGCATTAGGTGTAAGTTTATATGTCATACTGCAATGTGGAGGATTCAACGACCTCTCTTGTGTGTATGAAGGTAGTCCAGGAAGATGGTACATTTCTGAGTCACAGGAAGAACTTTTGACTGTGAGGAATTCTTTCCATTAGCAGATAGAACAAGATAGGTTGATTTTATCACAGGGTTATGGCTCCTGTATCATGGCTAGAGTGTAATTCAGATTTAAATTTGCTAAGGATTTTGTACTGCAAATAGGGTATGTCATTATTTCTGTGATGTCTGGTCTTTTTGATGGTGGAAGGTGAACAGTCACTGTAGTACTGAAAGTTATTGATGCTGTGGTCTTACTACCAGAATGAGAAACTTGGACATAAAAATGCTTGATCTATGTTTGGCAGGTTTTGGGGTTTTGTATCTGTGGGGGGTTTTTGCAAATAATTTTCCTATCTTTTCTCAGTTCATCTCTGCTAGTAACTAGTTATGATTATATTGTAATCACTTTCAATTGTATACTGGATGAATTTTGAAAATTGTATTTTATTTATAGTAGGAAGTGATTCAAGATATAATAACCAAATTTCCTTGATGTAATTGAAGCTAAGAAATGTTTGTTAATTCTTAAATAATTTTCATATTTTGTAAGGATTTTTCCACTGAAACGTTTTTTTTCTCCACCCTTCTTCAACTCTCAGGAGTTTTGGATGACAGATCTCACACTCAGGAACCATCTTGCTCAGATCTCTTCCTGTTTCCAGATGAAAGTGGAAATGTCTCACAAGATTCAAGTCCCACTTATGCTTCGTTCACTCATCACCTCATAAATGAGGCCATGGGAGATGTTCCAGCAGAAAGTGATGATTTCTGCATTCTTTTTGCACCCAAAGTTGCTGTTGCTGTAAGATCCTTTGAAAATTACTAAAAATAGTCCATATATAAACTGAATTAGAGAAAAGCCTATCTAAGACTTAGACAAAATAGATTTCATAGATTTCTGTGATACTTAGTGATGTTTTTTATCAATGGGCAAACTAGCAGAAAAATAGTTTTTCTGTTTGAAAGGAACTCTGCATTGTTACTGCAAGGAATAAGTATTTTCAGATAGATACGATTTTTCTATATCTCAGCACTATGTCATTGTTCTCTGATCTGAATGTTACATTAAACTGTATTGGCAGTTTTCCTACATTTTAGTCATGTTTTATCATTGCCATTTTGACTTACAGTAATGACACAGTTAGGAAAAAATGTTTTAGGCAAAACCCAGTATTTAGCAAAATAGTAGTTTGCACATCTTCTAATCTTTTATTCATTTCTCTCATAGTCTAAGCTTTCAGTATTTTTAAGGACCTAAGATCCTTGCCAAAGCTCAGAGAAAAGCTTGTGTGTTGCTTTACACTGATGTCCGTCCTCTGCACAGTGTTCATGTTGTTCATGGTATTTCTGGTTGTGCTCATCTTAATAGACAGAAGTAGTTCCTGGATCCCTGATTAGGAGCTGTATTTTCCCAGTTATGTTTGAACTTGTTTGTTTCCAAAAGTGCTAGTATGGTAGCCTGGGCTCTTCTGTGGGTTTTTTTGTTTGCTTTCAATTAGTACTTTGTTTCCTTTACAGTTTGAGTGGGGAATTTTTTTGTTTTGGTTTGGGTTTTTTTGTTGTTGCTGTTTTTAACTACCTCTCAGTTTCTAGGTTTTTTTCATATGCTTTTGTCTTTACTTTATAAGAAACGTTCCTAAAACAATTATGTGTTGGATAAGCTTTAGAAGACAATACAGAATAGCTTTTCTTTTCATAGGAAAGAATTAGGCATCTCAATAAAGAAAGCAGATTTCATCTTCCCAACGCTATACACTTTTTTTTTTAATTAGGAAAAAGAGGAAGAACCAGTTATAAAAATAATGGTTGATGATGCAATTACCATAAAGGAAAATCATTTCAGCCAACCTGTTAAAAAAACAGATACAAGCAAAGCTCCTCTGCATTTTCCTGTTCCTCTGGTACGCTATGTTGTAAAGGAAATATCTCTTATTTGGCATCTTTATGGTGGAAGGGATTTTGGGACTGCACCACCAACATCACCAGCTAAAAGTTTCATGTAAGTGTTTCATGTAATTCTGTAGATTAGAACCCTTAAAAAGACTTGATTTTCTTTTAATTTGGAGTAATCTCACTGTTAAATCTCAATGTCCCTTGCTTGCTTCTTTGCTCCCTTCTCACAAGGAGTCAATCACAGAATGGTTTGGCTTGGAAGGGACCTTAAAGATCATCTAGAATCTTCTTCAGTTTAACTCCACACACCAGAGTGTATTTTTCCCATGTCTTAACCTGGACAAGCTGGGTTTGGGGTTTGGGTTTGCTGATTTTTTTTTTTGGGGGGAGGGTGTGGTGGAGGGATGGATTTTTTTTTTCGGTAATATTAGAAGTCAAATTTTCCTAAAGAGATCAGGGCTTAAGGAGCATAAGAGTCAGGTCTACCAGGTGTCATATAAGGTAAAGAGTTATTAAAATTATCACAACCAAAATTAAGAAAATGTTCTCTAAATGTAATTTGGGGGGACACATACACGTAGCATTCTGCTTAAGTATGCATTACTTGAAGAGCAGAAAGAAATTATTTGTTTAACAGTAACACAATTTCAGTGGGTTTTTTTGAAAGCCATTAAAGTACTAATAAGTTACATCCATTGCATTTAGTTCTAGATTAACAGTGAGATAACTTTAATCTGCAAAAGTGTATTTTTTCTTTTTATTTCCCCAGAAGTCCCCATAGTTCTCCTTCTCATACACCAACAAGGCATGGGCGGAATACAGCATGTGGGGGAAGAGGAAGAAACCCTGACTTCCTAATGGAAATACAGTTAAGCAAGGTGAATGACAGAAACAGCTTCAGCCATGACTCTTTGTGTGTGAATGTTACATTCCTTTGATAAGTTTTCCATTAGAGTTCAGTAGGATTTCTTTCAACAGTATCTAAATCTAAGCAATCACTTGGAAGATGATGAAGGTAGAATTTGTGTAACAAAAGATGTATTTACTCTTCTAGCATAGCATTTACTAGCTGAATAAACTTGTTTCTAAAGATGAAGGATATCTATTCTAATATTCTTAATGTTTTTGTTTATTATAACCAAAAGTGAGTAAAGAAAAAGGAAATAAGACTGCAAGAAACCACTTGAGAAGTCAATTGGCAGGGAAGAAACCTTACTTTCCGAAGTGTAGAGGGTGCAGGATTCAAGAATTGCAGGATTGCCTGATACTGGCTTCACTGTGAAGTAAGATGGATGTTAGGATTGAGAGGAAAAAGCAAAGTCAATGTTAAAACAAAAAGTGAAACTCGTTCATTGTCTTATACTGACTCTTCATTTTGGCTTGGATTTGCATCCTAGAATATGAATATATACACAGCTAGAAATTGGAAGATTTCTCCTGCTACATGTAAAAAGCTGAATAGTTTTCAGAAATCCCAATATTATTCCTGTAGATTTAAAACAGTAGACAGCTATTAAAGTTCCTATGTATGGTGTGGTTTTCTGTTTTGTTTGTTTTTTTAAATAGTATTCTGCTGTTAAATGCTCTTTTTCACTGAAACTGATGATGCTGGTTTTCTTTCTGTTGTAAAAGGTGAAATTCCAGCACGAGGTGTACCCTCCATGTGGTGCAGAAGGTGAATCCTGTCTGTTGGAGCAGCCAGTGTCCCGACAGGTTTTTATTGTTCAAGACCTGGAGATTAGAGATCGCTTAGCTACATCACAGATGAATAAATTTCTCTATCTCTACTGCAGTAAGGAGATGCCCAGAAAAGCACATTCAAACATGGTACAGTTATGAAACATGTTAGAAATATGTTAATTTTTTACATTTACAGTGGTTGAACTGTCATCGTGGGGGTTATGTACTCTTCTTAGAAATCTTGCACAAGAAAAAGCATGAGTTCATGGAACACTGAAGTAATATAATTTGTTGATAGTTTGCTTGACTCTTTATGGATATTAAAACTGATTCAAAAGTGAGTTTGAATGGTAGCTTGTCAGGTATTCATGTTGTTGAGATTCTGTCAGTTAAAAAAAGTAGATTTGCAGGACAACTTTTGGTAGTTTTCACAATTTGGTTTTGAACAAATGTCCGCTTGTATGAGTATGATGAGACTTCACTACACATACAGTGTTGTAGTTTTATGGTATACTGAAGTCTTACTAGTTCTATAAAGGATTTATTACTTTTTTGGGGGGGGTTCCTCTAATTTTTATTACATTCATAGTAAGTTTTTATTCAATACTAGCTTTATAATTGCTAATAATATTAGCAGTTATAATCAGATAAGTACAGAGGTTTTGCATCAAATATTTTTCCTAGTTAGTGTTCTGAGATTTAATAATTGTGAATGTAAGTGCTTCTGTTTATTATTTTTTTTCAGTTAACAGTTAAAGCATTACATGTCCGTCCAGAGTCTGGCAGATCCCCACAGGAATGTTGTTTACGTGTTTCCCTAATGCCACTTCGCCTCAATATTGACCAGGTTGGTTTTGGGGTCCATTTTTGGTTTTTAATTTAAAAACTTAGAATATCTGTAGACAAGGCTGTTTATTCAATAAGTTTTCCTCCTGAGACTTCTGATAACCTCAAAGGTTTTGGAATCATGGCTTTTAAAAATCGTGTACTTATTCTTGAATCATCTGGCTTTGTTCATGAAGTGGCTTCATTGTTTTTAATTGAAAACGTTAATCATTAAACCAGAAGTGGTTCACAACATTTTAGTCAAGGGCACTTGACACTCAAGAAACGTGTCTTTACTCTGAAGGCTTTGGTCTTGCTGTCAACTGCAGTGGCAGGAAGAACAGAAATTGTTTTACTTTCCTTAGCAAACCTTTGTTCAAAGTATTTTTGATGTACTCAAGAAACATTTGGATTTTTTTTTAAAGCAGTAAGGAAGGTACATATGTTTGGGCATGCAAATATAAAGTGCATATTACTCTTTGTTGAGGCATTTCTTGCTTAATTTGTCGTCTTCAGAGAGATGTTTGGGTTTTGAGTATTAATTTAGGAGTTCCACATCTACTTTCTCTTTCTGTCAATATACGTTAGAGACGAGGTTTTCATGCTGCTATTAGAAAAATTGAACTCTGTCTAGTTTGCAATAATTTCATCCAGAAAAAATAGCTTGGAAATACTGCCATCTAGTGAGGAAATGTGTTCCCTCTTGGGTGCTCGTTAAAGCCTTTTATCTTTTGTACCATGAACAGAATTCACCTTTACAACTTCTGTGAAATTAACCACAGCTCATTTGGAAGCATGGGGCAGGCTGCATGCAGTCATATTAGAAATACTTGTCATTACTACTTAATCTGTCTTTCTTATCAGTTGGAAACAAAAATGGAAAACAAAGTCCAGATCATTAATGACAGGATGAATAAGGCACCAGTGTGATGCATATGTCAGAAGAAGAAAATGGGATGTAGTAACTTTAGAACATTAACACCACAGATATTAATGACTTTTAATGAAGCAGTGGTGATCTGTAATGATTTGACTGACTTTGACAGTATTAGAAAAGAATATAAAGTGTACTTAAATACCCTTTTATTGGAAATGAGAGAAAATGTTGTAACCATTAAAGCATCTGGGTTCTGGAACAGTCTCCAAAATTACACTAGGAGTGATGAAAACAACCCTGGATTTTTAAGACAGAGCTAGATTGATCATGAAATCATGTTATATGTAGCAGCGGGCAGTGGCCAGAGGATCTTCCTGGTTTCTGTCCTAGATTTTATGTGATTTCTGCATGTGTTAAAGGATCAAAAAGAAGAAATGTGTTTTGTTTCATGGCCGTGTGGAAATAGAGCTGGAATAATAGATAATATTTTTAGAGAATTAGATCTTTGTATTTATTTTAATCTGATTGTATTTTATTTTTTGTCATTAGGATGCCTTGTTTTTCCTGAAGGACTTTTTCACTAGCCTTTCTACAGAAGTAGAACTCTTAGTTACTCCAGATCCTGAAGGTATGCTTTTCAAAAATCTAGCAAGTGTATCTTTGTTCTCCCTTAATGTGGGTACATGTTCTATAAATTCACATGTGAATCTTGTGTGTATAAAAACTTGTGTTGGGGTTTGAGCACTAACATGAATTACTGATTTTTTGGAACACAGAATCTTTGGGTATTTTAGCTTCATATTTTATAATTATCAACAAAGGTCTTCAACACCTGGGATCTCAATTGTATAAAAGGTTTCACTGAAATTGGAGCATATTTAATAAGAGCTTCTGAAAAAAACTGAGAATTGTGCATATAATATGATGTAATTATTAAATAAAACAAATACAGTGTGCTGCTTATTTATAATACTGAACTCTATGTTACACAACTTCAAACTATTAGATAGACATACTATTTTATGAAAGAGGTATTAAATGCTGTATGTATGCAGCTAAAGGAGTACTTCTAATCAACTACAACATCTGATGCAAAAGCAGAACATACTGAAAAGCATATTTCCACTATTGACTATATTTGTGCATTTGTTAGCAGCTACACTTTACCTATTTCTGCTGAGGTGTCATACTGAAATGCATAGGTAATGAAGTGCTCTGCAATACTGCCATTAAAACCAAAGGGATTGTTTATGCTGATGCATCAATCTTGTCTTAAGCTGCATGAAATAATTTTGGTTAATAACTAAAAGTCTAAATATTGTCCTGCTAATAAGCATTTGAACTTGCTAAGGACACAGTTAATGGTGTAAATGCAATCTTTCTGTGGAAAATGTGAGTCAGTTTACTGTGTGTAACTTCTTATCCTAGTTAAAAAGTCTCCTGGTGCTGAAGTTACGTGTAGTTTGCCCAGGCACGTCAGCAGCCTTAAGGAACCGAGTCCAGTCATTTCTTTCTCATCACACAAGCAAGCAAATGAAAATGGTAGCATTGACTCTATGGATGTGGTTAATGGAGATGATGATAATTTCTCACAAGAATCGACGTCATACAGTGATCAGCCAGTATTTTTCAGGTAAACTTTCGTTACAAAATTTCCAGTGACACACAGCTGTTCTGCTGAATGTTTTAAGGAAAGGTGATGATAAACTATACAGACCTTAGGGCAAAGGTGCATTTTTTTGTTTGTTCATTGACTGGGTGTGGCAATCAGATGTATTTATTTCTATCACAGGACAGTAACTAATGACTTTTATTAACTTTTGAATACTACTGTGCACAAAGAAATAAAAATTAATTAAAGTGCTGCTATGTAGAGAACCAGTAATGAGATGTTTTACAAATAAATAAAAAGAGCATTGTTTATATTCTTACATCTAACAATATAAAATAAATCTAATATAACCAGAGATGAAAGTATATAAAGGAAAAGGATATCAGGGAAGAGGTGAGGTATAAGATTAAAATATCACAAGATAAACTCTAATGTAGTCCTGAGTAGGAAGTGACTGTGAAAATCGTAACTTGTTATGCAAAAGTTTTTTCACGTGTATTCAGATTGTAAGTGCCTTGAACAACAGATGTGTGCTTTAGTAAGCAATGCAGAGCCAAATTGTAAGAGCATGGCTGTGGTTCTAGTTCATCATATACATCACCAGGAGAATTTTTTATTAAGTTCCTGTTGCAGGACTAAATTTTGCCTACAGAGCCATCATTTTATGGGTTTTTTTTGTTTGTTTGTTTTTAACTGAATGTTGTGCTGTGAAAATTGAGGAAAGATGTTCACTTGCAGGATTAGTAGCACTCCTGCAGGACTGTTAAATTTATTACAAATGCTAATCTGAACTAGATGTTAATAAACCAAGAAAAGCTGAATTTGCCACTGTATTTTGTACATTTATTCTGAAGTACCAACACAGTAACTAGAGGATTTATGGCTTACAGAAAAGACTATGACATTCTATTCCAGGAGGATGTGAAACCAGGAGTTTCTTTTGGAAGGATAAGTGATTTTATTTCCTTTTCATGTATCTCACTATGAAATTTTCTTTTCACTTTGCAGGGAATTTCGTTTCACATCAGAAGTTCCAATACGGCTTGATTACCATGGCAAACATGTATCAATGGATCAGGTTTGTATATAATGCTGATGCTACAGAACAAAAATTTGATGTTGTTTGTTTTGTTTTTCCCCGACCCCCATGAGTGGGGGTGTATTTTTATGCTCCCTAGTCATTATTGATGTGATCAAGACAAATACAGAACACTTTTTTTTTCTTCTCATTAGTTTCAATAAAGCTTAACCTTGTTGCACTCTTAATTTGAAACCTAAGGGGTGGATCCTCCAGATCTGATTAACTCCAAATGGAACTTGCATGCCACATTTATGAACTCAATGATTGGCTTGAAATCAGAGTACATTGCTGCAGTGCCCCTCAAAGGATGATTCCATTGTCTGATATGAGAATTCTACACTTTTTTTTTTCTCATTAATGCCAGAATAAAATGTCATTTTTTTCTCTTTGTTTCCTTTCCTTGCAGTCTAGTAACATGTGGGCCTCAGAAGCAATGGCAGAATCTGTTATAAATACAAAAAAATGTTCATAGTTCTTCTTAAAATATGCGTTGGTTGTTATACTGCGTTTAGAAACAGATATCAAAAAATCCTGTTTGCACAACCAGAATTGTGCTTTGACACAGCAAATCAGTAAGAAAATATGGAAGAGTGAAAGCAGCAAATTCTTCAATTTGCCCAGCTCTCAGAAATCAAACTGTGAAATATAGTAGCTTTAGAATGCCTGGAACATACTAAAGCCAGAGCTATGTTTACATAACTTATTATGGCTTATTATTTCTGAAGAAGCTGTCTTGTATCCAGATGTTTTTCTTAGAGTAGCAGGTTAAGTCAAATTTCATCTCTTGGAAGTTTTCAGGTAACGTGATTTGTAGCACTGTAACAAGTAGCTTTTGGAAGACTGGGGGAGAATCTGTTTGGACAGAAATACCTACAAGTAAGAGTGGAGATGGTCAAATTATTCCTCACGAGTTGAACAGGTTAAGTAAATTCATGTGACAATAAAATATTTCACTTACAGGGAACATTGGCTGGGATTCTTATTGGGCTTGCTCAGTTGAACTGCTCAGAATTAAAGCTGAAGAGACTTTGTTACAGACACGGGTAAGTTTATTGAAATGTAGATGAACATTGCTATGCAAATTGAACAAGTTTGTAGTGAATAACTGAACATAACAAATGCAAAGCAAATTTTCTGTTAAGATGTACTTTGAAATCCACGATGCTTTTTGACTTTACAAATATTTCTTGAGTCTCGTTTTTTTTTCGATGATGATGTTATTCAAGAATAACATCTAATTCAGAACAGTATTTAATATATGTGCTAGTCTTGGTGATAGCACACTTCAAGAGATATCTTCAAGAGATATCTTGAAGTGTCAAAAGATGACACTTGAAAAAGCTTTTCTTTTGTTTAAATGCCATCTTTTACTTCAGTGACTAATGAATGCATTTATCTTGTTGAGAATTGTATGTTTAAAAAAAATAATAATTTTATTTATTTTAGTTTGTTAGGTGTGGATAAATTGTTCTCCTATGCCATCAGTGAATGGCTTAATGATATAAAGAAAAACCAGCTACCAGGAATTTTGGGAGGAGTAGGACCTATGCATTCTCTAGTGCAGTTAGGTAAGTTAAATCTTATTTCTTCTCAGACGCATGACAGTTTTCTTAAAAACCAGACAACACCTCTCCCCACTAAAAAGCTCACCACAAACCATGTTGACCCTTGTTTTCACTTCTTTTCGAGGCATTCTGCTTGTTTAAGAGAACTTTCTGACTGTGGTGTTCTGTCTTCACTTTCAGTCCAAGGTCTGAAGGACTTGGTGTGGTTGCCGATAGAGCAGTACCGGAAGGACGGACGTATCGTCAGGGGCTTTCAAAGAGGAGCAGCTTCTTTTGGTACTTCCACTGCAATGGCAGCACTGGAGCTGACAAACAGAATGGTTCAGACTATACAGGTACAGTGTATTACTTCTGAAGTTAGACATAAAATGAGAAATGCTCCTAGTAAGTGCTCTATATTAAACTAGAATCTTAATGCTGTAAATTTAAGGTTGGGAGTATGTATTTAAAAGGAAAAAAATGCAACTGTATAAATAGGAAAGCAGGGACTGGGCAGAGTTTGCATCAATCTGTGAGGTGAGAACTATGGCATCAAATGCAATAGTTGGAAAACTGTTAAAATACTGCTGAACACCCAAGCTGCTACATGTTTCTTATGACTTTGATGTATTACAATGTACAGTTTAATACTAAAATTTTCAGCTTCACTAGAAGATCATTTATATTGATAAAGATGAGTTCTTCACACATGTATTTTCCAGTAATAGATTCTTGCCTTTTCTAAAAATCTCAGCTTATCTGTGCATATTTAAAACAAAACAAAAAAACCCCACAAAACCAACAAAGGAAAAAAACCCCAAAACCTAAACCCAGTACTATTTGTGTTGATGTACACAAAGTCTATAAAATTTTCTGGATTTAATCCCAAGGTAATCTTGGATTAAAGAGTTAATAAATTTATGTTCCTTAATGTAAAATACATAATGAAAATACACTTTTACCACCTGATTTTGCAAAAATTGTGTACGTGCTTAAGCTTGAATATATATAGTAAAAAAAAAAGTGGTGTTACTCACGAATGGGATTATATGTGTTCTTGTGTGTTTGTAAGAAATATGTACCATTGATCAAATGTTCGGTTTCTGTCTTGAGCATTTCATGCAGATTAGAGGATGCCTTTGAAGAGACAAAAATTAGAAGGGGAGAAAACCCACCTAAACCCACAACATTCATTCTTTCATTGTGGAACTTAATGTATAGTTACAGCCACACCCATTCCAGAAGTTCTTATACAAAACCCTAATCTTATGTAAATGAGTATTATTTGTGGAATAAGAATTGTTTTATTTCAATGATATCATCCTATTAGTAGTTTAAATTTGCAGTTGGGTACCATAAGACTTCTTACATGGTTTGCATTTGCTCCTGATCTTCAGGCAGCTGCAGAAACTGCATATGACATGGTATCACCAGGGCCTACCTTTATTGAAGCAAAAAAGATCAAGCGATTCCCTCGCCATCGTTTAGCTCATCAGCCAGTAGACCTACGGGAAGGTGTAGCCAAAGCCTACAGTGTCGTAAAAGAGGTGAGTGCAAAAGTGACTAACAGATTAACAGATGCTAGTTTAAGCTGACCAAATAAAGAAGAGGATTTAGGTTTTGAACAAGACTGTCTTCATCAGTAAACTTAAACCAACAGAAACCTTGCATGGAAAAAGCAGAAGTAAACTAAGATATCGTGCAGATAAATGTGAATAGGACGTGAGTGCTCTACAGCTGTGATGGTTTACAACTATTGTAAATCCTGTAAACTTGATTTCCTGCACTGTATCATCCGTCCTTACTTCCTGCCCACCCCCTTCCTCCTCCCTTTGGAGTTACTGTTAATTCTGAGGTAGAGTTTAATCATAATGCTGGATTTAAAAGAAGTGAAAGCTTTTACAGCGTGTTATAAATTAGAATGCTGACCTGTTTTTATTGTATTTTTGTACTGTACTTTTAGTTACACATGGTATGGTGTCTATGAAGTAAGGTCTCAGCTGAGTTTCTAGTGAACTCCGTGATTTTTTAATAGCCCACAGTACCCCACAGCTTTTTCCCATATGCACAACATGTGCCACTGGAAGTCAGATGAAATACTTACATCTCTGAGTTCACAGAAGAACAACTAAATCATATTTGTATCAGTCTAGTTGTACTACAGCTATAATACAAATCACCAAGATGAGAAATACTGAGCAGTTTAAAATTTCCCTAAAATTAGGAGAGATTGCTTTTTCTTTTTCAGTGTAACTGATTTCTTTTTATTTCTCAAAGGGTATTACGGACACAGCCCAAACCATCTATGAGACTGCTGCTCGTGAGCATGAAAACAGAGGAGTAACTGGAGCAGTAGGAGGAGTCCTCCGCCAAATCCCACCAACTGTGGTGAAACCTTTCATTGTTGCAACAGAGGCAACCTCAAATGTTCTAGGTGGAATGAGAAACCAGATCAGGCCAGATGTGCGTCAAGAAGAGTCTCAGAAGTGGCGCCTTGGGGAGGATTGAGATTGTAAATCTGGCTCAGCACACAGGTAGCAAGGCTGGAGGAATGTCCTGTTGGCAGCTTTAGATGGAGCTCACTTTTTGTCATGCTCATCTCAGGAACAAATGAGGTTTTCAACTGTTATTCACAAAACATCCAACCAAAAATATTTATGAGGTGAAAAGCAAATTGGTACGTGCTCATACTGTGTTACCAATACATTTGGTAGATAGTGCCAAACGTAGTGAAGCATGCGCTGCCAACTCAGAGACATGCTTGCTCTGTTCCATTTACCATATTTTTCTTGGTACATTTAACATCTGAAACAGTAGCCTATATGGTGAAGCTAAGTGGACTTTAAAGAAGTTTTCTGAGCATAGTCAAAGAACTGTCTTCAATAAAGGGCTCTGCAGATGCTCTTCACTGACTAAAGAATAAAAACCTTCATTGTGGACATGTGACATGAAGGCTGTGTAATATGGAAGCAGATAAGATAATACTGTTTAGTGGTCATAAGCATCGCTTTTAGCGTGGCACTTACAGCAAGGACAAGATTGATAACCATTCAGAGTTTAGATTCAGTGTTGATACACCTCCAAACAGGATTTGGTCCTAAATATTAAATACCTACTTTTGTGGGTTTTGAAGAACCTGAATGTTGCAGAAATGTTCTGTTGTGTTGCACTTTAAAAGATATGGCCTGTATATTGTGCTTTTTTTATAGTGTGAATAAAATGTAATGTGCATTATCCTTTATGTGGTTTAGAAGCTTACACAAATTATTGAAAAGAGCATCATTTGATGATGATCCTACAGAAAAGTGTCTTAAATTTATTTAAACTCATTATATGTTAAAACATTTTTTGTCTTCTGTTATACTAACTACAATGCTAAAAATACGTGTTCTTCAAGAAAACAGGAGTTGATTTTAATTGTGGCCAACAGTTTTTTATAAGAATGAAAAATCATAAGTAAAAATGAATTATTTCATGATTTCATAGTTAAAAGGCTATACAGACTTTATTTTAATACTCTGCTTTTGTTTAAAGTTCATATTGTTGCAAAGCTGCAGCTCTCACAAGATATTTTTAATTTAGATTGTGTGTCAGTTATTTGGAAATGAGTATTGGGGGACGTTTAATTGGAACTTGGAATGGGTGAGAGGATTTAAAAAAAGGACAGCAAAACTTCAAGAATCAAAGTTGGTACTGACATTATTTAGTATTTAGTAGGTGACCAGGGTCTCCACAGAGCTTTATTAAGCACCTGACATTGCACCATTTTGGGGCAGTTAAAAGGCTTGGCACTAGCTGTGCAATAATTAACTTCTTTTATCTTATATTAGCAAAAACTGGAGGCTAAAAAGTAAAGACTCTTTTCAATACAAAAATACTCACTTTGAATTTCAACAGGTTAAACTTCGAATGACTAGCCAGGATGTAAGTTTGTCATAGTCCTGTGCTAATAATAAGTGGAAATTCTGCCTATATGCCATGTGGAAAATCTCCACTGAAAGGGAGACATCAAATGCTATTGATCAGACTTCAGTCTCTAAGGGTAAAGAAGAAGTAGTTTACCTCTCTTTTATTTAATATCTGCCAATAGCATGACAAACAGGAGTGTATGAAGGAAAATAATTGTTGCTTGTTCATGCTGATACTATACTCCTTATTCCTGAACACCAAAGAATCTGCCTGGAGGGTAAAGGATTTGAAAATGTCCCCTCTGCTGGGAAGACTTTTGCAGTATGCTTTATTATTTTTCATAAAAAAAAGTTCCAGTTAAAAGCAAATTCCTTCATTGGGTGTCAGGTGATATTACAAAGGTTTGTTTCCAATTGCTGGAATTGTCTAAGTTGTGATACACTTTGAAGACCTGGTTATTTCAGTTAAAAGACTTGCTGCAAGCAGGAGGAGATACTTTTGAGAGGATGAAGACCTGCAGATTTAATGACATGAAGTATTTTTTGATGTAAAAATGCTTGCTGCAGTGCATACTTTTGTCCAGTAAGTAGAGAGCTCTGCTTTAGTGAGAGCTCAAAGTGTGAGAATTTTTGCACAGGAATGAGTTCCATGTTTGCAATGTGGCACCTCCTGAATACCTTCTCAAGAAGTGGTGAGGAGTCAATGCAAGTAAGTAGCAATGCATCTTTTTCATTTGCAATTACCATACTATGTAATTTCAGCTAGTCCAGTTCATCCAGTTAGAGTACACTGCAATAGTATAACTCTACATATTTTCTTCCTTTTTGACATTGCTGAGAAGGAGCAGTGGCATTTCAGTGTTCTTTTAATTTTCAATTCTGTCAATTGATTGTACTGCAAGGCAATTAGAATATATTTTTATATGAGGGCATGGTGTCAAGTAAAACATTTTTATAGCGTGTCTCTCATTGTCAGCAATACAGATTGTATGAATTTATTAAACTTCACTTTTCACTATGTAAACCCTCTCATTTACTGCTTGCACTTTATTGAGCCTTTTCAGTGAAATCGATTCTAAATTTTTTTCCAACATTTTATTTTTACAAGCAGTTTTTTAATTTTAGGGTGTGTATTCTGCATTGTTGCAGTGTTTGAAATGTTTAAAAAAACCTAAAAGCTCACAAAACTTGTTAAACTAGTCTTTACATCAAACTAGTTTTCAGAATGTCTTGTATGGATTGGCTTGTGTTTTAAATCAAAAAGCATCATGTATGAGAAGGAATTCGTCAAATGTTCTCCTCAATGCTGTAAATTTTCAAGCACTTAGAAAATACACAAAATGAGATTTGACTCTTGACATATTTCCTGGAAATGGAAGCCTATGGATATGTTACTGTATTCTCCGTTAGCATGAGGAGATTTGTGAAAATATTGTTGTACTTGAATTTTCCACTGAAACGAGTTGCTATAGATACGGACACCTCATATTTGTAGAGGCTGTAAACTGACACAGTCAATGTTTAATTCTCTCCACATTCTCTGATGTTGAACTGACTAACACTACTACTGCTACTACTGTTACTTAGTCCAATACCGTCCTGATAGACAGAACTGTCATCCTGGCTTTTCTTAAGTGTCCAGGTGCTTCAAGTAATACATCAGTGAGTGCCTGGGAAGTACCTGAAAAAAAGACAACCATCTTTTGACAACAAACAAACAAAAAAACATCCTTACTAAGAATCTTAGCAGTGACTCATGGCAGCAAATCATCACATCCATGCAAAGGCAGCTTCCATTTTCTTTCCAATATCTGTTCATGGTTTCTAAATCCTGTAGGTTTTCAGCAATGCAGTGTATCCTACACATACTTGCCTAATGATAAGTATCATCAGTGACTCACTGGTCAGTCCCCAGTGAATTCATCTGTGCTTAAGGGATGTGACCATTTGCTCACTAATTGTTTGATTGTGAACATCCATTGCTTGCTTTCATTTAGAGTTCCTTAACTGAGTTGCCAAGAAAGGTTTTTTAATAAACCAAAAACCTATTCGATGGTTATGAACAAAACACTCTTACTGAACATGATCCATACACCTGTAAATGTGATAATGATTTTACTTTAAATATTGAAATGTATGCATTTTGTAAAACAATGAAATTCAAGAATTTGTTTGGAGTAGTTAAATATTTCTAAATTTTTTGCATACCCTAAATGCTTCAGCAGTATAGGTCAGAAAAGGTATGAGTATGTATTTCGGTTTGGTTCCTAATGTGCACAGTTCTTCAGTCTCCAGGCCTCATGATTTAAGCTTCTGACAACTGTTTTAAGTTGCTCTACATGCTGAATCTTGTTTACAATTAAATATTAGATACTACAAGTTAAATACATAAATACAAATCATGCATTTGTACTGGATTTCTTAATAGTAAGGTAGCTCAGACAGAAACACAGCAGTTTGTGTATATGTTTGTGTATATTTTTTACATTTTTGCACTTACAGTAGTTTTGTTGTATTGTTTGTATATAGTTTGCTAGTGTAAAGAATATAATCTCATGAAATAGAAACCACTGTTGAAGGGAATTGACTATTTCAACTTGAGTTATTTTGCTTAAAGTTCTTGTCCCCTCAGTATGTCCTTGAGAATTATTTTTAACCATAATTTATATGGCACCAAAAGTGTATATTTTAGCTTATTAAAATGCCGAAAGGCCTGAGTGCAAATAGGTTGTCTGTTAAATACATTTAATGGAAAAAAAAAACCCGCAAATTTGTAACAATACATAAATAAATATCTGAATTTGTTCCTTGAGTTGGTTTTCTCTACCTGTGAATATAACTGACCCAGAAAACAGTCTCCCAAAATACTTGAATTAACTTAAAACTTTTTATCTACCTGACTGTTGTACCTCAAAAAAAAAAAAATTATACTGATTAAAAAAGGAAAGCTTTAAAATTGCATGGAGGTCAAAACGTAGGAAATGTATTAAGCTGGCTGATATAACCTGAAACCACCTCTGCTCTGCACCAGCAAAGTGCTCTTTACCTGTATGATCAGATATTGTGCCCCCATAGGCCTGTTGCCACATTTATTTACTAAGAAAGTATATCTTATTTCTGCATTCAGTGGAGATTTTTAAAGCTTTATTAGCTTCCAAACTCTGTGAAGGATGCAAAATAATAAATGTCTTTCAGGATGCTTCTCTAATACCCATTTCACATATGTTAAGGTACAAGCATCTGAAAAGAGATCTGAGTACTGGGCGGTATTAAATGCTGGTGCCAGTGCCAGGACCCTGAATAATGTGACAAGTGTAAATAATTTTCTGCTGTGTTTTGTAATGATGTAACATTCTGGGGGATGAGGGGTGGTCACTGTATAAGGCCTGGATAACTATTCTGTCAAACAGTAACCCTTCGTTTAAGAAGGAAGCTGACTCCCATCCTGTGTATCTCTTCTTCCCTCCCTGCCTTTTTTTTTTAAGCAAGACCTCACGTGGATTAAAGGAAGTGGTAAAGTTCTTTCTCTTTGCAATACTGAGGCATACCAAGGATAATTCTAATCTTGCCCCAGACTAGCAAAGGAGAATAAGGCCACAGCTGATGACACTCCAGCTGAGAATTTATGGAAAGCCACCAGTAAGACATACCAACCTGGAGCAACATGAGTTGGTGTCCTTGAACTCCACTCCTAATTGAGCATGACTGAGGCTCAAGCATTCCTTTTTTTTTTTCCCTCGTAAATGATTTTTGCTAGCAACCTTTGAAATGTGGTATTAAATAATGGGATTTTTTTTTTTGCCAATTCATGTTTCTGGGAAATAGTGTTTTAAACCATCTTGTATTATCAGAGATTATAAAAGATTTCATAAAGCTACCTTTTTGTGAGAGAAATTGAAGTTTCAGAGATGTTTTGTTCTGAAACAGACTGATTAGATGAAAGCAGAGCTTACTGAAGGGCAGCCATGAAGTATTCATGACCCCACAGGCAAGGAAGCAGTCCAAGCTTCTTAGATGTTTGTCAAGAGAATTTGTGAAATAGTTATCTGTAGTGAAGTTCTCAGGCTCTTATTTGCTCTGTTGTTGATTTCATTCTTTACTAGGAACATGAATGTTAAACTTGGCTCTTGCAGGCCAAAGAGTGGAAGGAAGCCTCTAGGGAGGAGAAGAGATGTGTACCTGTTTGAGCAGGAGGCAAGTTTTGGCGATATGGGGGTGTATACTCAATAAAATGGAGCTTGGTCCATTGTAGCCCATGGGCACAAAGATAAGTAGGCACTATATCCATTAGAAAGCTTTAACTTGCACCTTTAGACTTCAACACTTGGCAGTTGTTTGGTACTGAAGATTTGTTGGTGGCTCCAACAACTGCATGAATCTCCCAGCACTTCTTTCTTTTCCTTCTTTTCCTTTCTTTTCCTGTCTTTTCCTGTCTTTTCCTTTCTTTTCCTGTCTTTCTTTCCCGTCTTTCTTTCCCGTCTTTCTTTCCCGTCTTTCTTTCCCGTCTTTCTTTCCCGTCTTTCTTTCCCGTCTTTCTTTCCCGTCTTTCTTTCCCGTCTTTCTTTCACGGTCTTTCTTCCGTCTTTCTTTCCCGTCTTTTCTTCCCGGTCTTTTCTTTTCCGTCTTTTCTTTCCGTCTTTCTTTCCCGTCTTTCTTCCCGTTCTTTCCTTCCCGTCTTTCTTTCCCGTTCTTTCTTTCCCGTCTTTCTTTCCCGTCTTTCTTTTCCCGTTCTTTCTTTCCCGTCTTTCTTTTTCCCGTTCTTTCTTTCCCGTCTTTCTTTCCCGTCTTTCTTTCCCGTCTTTCTTTCCCGTCTTTCTTTCCCGTCTTTCTTTCCCGTCTTTCTTTCCCGTCTTTCTTTCCCGTCTTTCTTTCCCGTCTTTCTTTCCCGTCTTTCTTTCCCGTCTTTCTTCCCCGTCTTTCTTCCCCGTCTTTCTTCCCTGTCTTTCTTTCCTGTCTTTCTTTCCTGTCTTTCTTTCCTGTCTTTTCCTGTCTTTCTTTCCTGTCTTTCTTTCCTGTCTTTCTTTCCTGTCTTTTCCTGTCTTTCTTTCCTGTCTTTCTTTCCTGTCTTTCTTTCCTGTCTTTTCCTGTCTTTCTTTCCTGTCTTTTCCTGTCTTTCTTTCCTGTCTTTTCCTGTCTTTCTTTCCTGTCTTTTCCTGTCTTTTCTTTCTTTCTCCTCTTCTGTCTGTTGAGTTTGGAAATGCTTCCTACTGTGTGTACAGCACAGTGTGAGAGAGATTTATGGCTGCTTGTAAGTGACAGAAATTGTGAGTTTGAGATGTTTGACAGTTCCACAACTGTGGCAGTCCTTGGCTGAATGGCAGGGGCAGGCATGATGAGCTGAACCACAAAAGATGAAATGGCACAGGGTGTACTGTGAGTGTTGGCAAGACCATAGCAGGGTATTCCTGGGTGTATGCTTTGCTATGAGGAGTATTGTACAGATCTGGATCCATTGCTGCTGACAGAAAACCAGATAGCATATGGACCTGGCAGTGATTGATAAAGATGCATGCAACCCTTAGTACTCTGGATGGAAAGGTAATAGAAAAGCAAAGTATGGCAAGAGAGGATGGAAATAACAGTGCCCAGTTGTATAAACACGTTCTTTATACAGATACAAGTTTCTGAGAAATACAGTTCCTGGTATCATTTATCTTTTTAGTAATGTTTAACAGATCTGAAATGTTTCCTGGAATCACTCAATAACTTAAAATGATTCACTTTCATTATGGCCTCTCCCTGTGTACTCAGTGGCAGAAGTGTCTTTTAGAGCACTGAAAGTATTTATTTTAAACATGAGGCTTTCAGTAATGCTCTTGAGGTCTGTTTTCTCTTGACCTTTCAGAGCTGTTTAATACCTTGTTGTAATACTGTTTGCTCTTTTTTGTTTTCTCCACATCACTTCTCTCTCTGAGTGCTTACTTTCCTCAGAACAGTCACAGGCCAAACTCAACAAATGTAAACGAGGGGGAGCAATTATACCAATTCCATTGGAGAAAATCCTCTTACTTGATAGCTGAATTCTGTTCACACCAGCCAAAAGTATTGTCCCAGAGCATGGCTTTCTCTTTTTGCTACTGTTCTCTCCTAAGTGCTGTAAACTATTGGCAGGAGGCCCCTTTTTCCTTTTCCTGACCAATAGTGATACACCTCCAGGTATATTTGTTAATACAATGGAGTTTGACAATTCATTCAAAAAGAAAAATTACCTCCAAGTTTGAGAAGATCTGTTGTCATGGGGCTGTAAACTGGGCTCTGTCTCTTCGCAATATCCCACAGGCATTGCAGAAATGACAGGAGGCAATTACATAGGAGTGTGTCCTACTACATTAGCCATTGATGCCACTACATTGTTGCCCTAAGCCTCTCGTATTATTTAATGCAAAAATCCACACTGACGTTAAGAGAGAAGGTTTTCAAATGCAATTTTCATCATAACCATCTTTCCTTGTTGTCCTCAACCTGAATTTTTACTGATGCTGCTTCCTATTAAGCATGAAACCCCAACAGTGGTTTAAGAGAAAAGTCCAGGAAGGTTGATGAATAAAGTTGAGTAGTATTGTTATTTCTGCCACCCCTGAGATTTGCTGTTAGTGCTCTTGTGTCTGAATTACTTGATCAATACTGCTACCCCAGGGGCAATCAGTTGAATTTAAAACTTGCCATGCAAACAGAGTAACACTGAAGACTTGAAAAATGTTTGAGGTTTGTTTTTTTTTTTCTTCCTCAGTACACATTTTAGGGATAGCTATACAAATGGGTTCATTGGAATCCTCTTTGTGTTGCTGATTAATAGCTCTTAACACTTGTTGCTTTTGCAAAACTCGTGTCTGCAGCAAAGTTAATGTAGAAAAAGGACAGTGAAGTGAGTTCACCTGCCTGAACAGAACCTGCAGAGCTGAGGAGGAAGCCCTGGGTGTAAGCATTAAGCCATCCTGATGAAGGATGGAGATGTTTGTTTCCAAAGCACACTCAGTGTCTTTCTCTGTTGGTAGGAAAAGAGCCTTTCTGAGCATCCCTTGTGTTTTGGGGAACCAACCCTGAGCGCTTTCTGCAGTGGGTCCTGGGGCAGGGCCATCAGGTGCAGGGACTGACAGGCACACAACTTCCTTCCTTCCTTTCTGTAACATACTGCTAACACTCCTTTCCCTTTCTGAGGAGATACTATTTCAGCCAATTTGTGATGTGAGTCAGGGAAGGTCTAAACTGTCACAGAAAGCTAAGCAAAACAACTTCTCAGTACACCTTTTTTTTACTGCAAAATTCAAATAGTTTTTGTCTAATTCTTGTTTAAATAAATATATAAATCTATTCCCATCCTGCATTGCACAAGAAAATAAACATAATGATGCTGAAAAATCCTCTAGAAGCCTATAGTAGAACTGAAAAACTGTGTCCCTGCCTATTTATAGCAAGGCTAAAGTGAGAACTTGAGGAGAACTGAAAGAGAAGACTCCTTCAAATTCTTTACTATTCGAAAATTGAAGGACCTGCTTAGAGTAAGGCAAAGAACTGGGAGCTTTTTGACAGAGTTTGGTTAGTCTCCAGGGGAACTTCCACATGACTGAGTCTGCTTTGCTGAAAGCTGTTTCCTTCTTCACATCGCTTTTCTGTTTAAGATCAAGTCCACTGTGTTAGGTTCCAAGCAGCAAGAATTTACATTCCTAAGACATTTCAAAATCCTGAATTTGTCTACAATGTGTTTCCAGAAATATCAACTGTCACTATAGTGCAAAAAAAGATGTTTGATATGTATTTTCAGAGTAGCTCTTGTTTACATAAAAAACTGGCAACTAATATTGTCTTTCATAAATCAAACTCCATCCCATGTATCTACTGTGAGACAGAAACTACTTGTGTGGAGGACAGCACATGAGCTCTAGTCACTCAGGACACAAAGTGCTGAATAATTACCATTGAGATCTATGGTTGACGCTAAGGTCAGTTTTGGATGTATCACGTGTACCTCTAACTGGGCAAATTTACATCCTTATATGGATTAGAACTGTGAATAGACAGTAATATTCCAGGAAGTCAAGATATATGAGAAAGAGCAATAGACAGTCCATTTTATGCAATGATAGGGGAAATGTTTTATAAAGCTTATCAGTAATTTCCCCAAATTTTGTCATTTTCAAGGGGGAAGTTTCTAGTTGTTCATAATAAAATGCTGGGGTTATGACTTCAGAGAAACCAATCATACTGGCAGAAAATAGTAATAAGGAAATGGCTGCTACAGGAGAAAATTAAGTGTCTTAGTGTTAGCCATAGTCATTCACAGAGACCAGGGAAAGTCACAGCAAACTAAGTAGTGCTGTTTTCCAAGCCATCCACAACTGATGTATCTTAATATGAACAAGGCTGCATTATTACCAATAATGCATTAGCTCCTCTTTCAACAGAGAAAATTATTAGAGACTTATTTAGAAAATACAGAGATATCTACATTGCCTCTCAATAGTGATAATTGCTTTGTATTGCAGTGTTAAAAACAGTTGTATGCATTGCTGAGAATGAAGAGACTCTGAAAACTGCATTAAGAATATGTGAAAACTGAAAACTTATATTGCATTCAATTAACTTTAATCATGATGGTGCAGAGCCATGTTAACTTTGGGAGACGTTGTTCTGTCCAATAATGGAACACATTAACATGATGCATTTTAGTGGCCTGAATCCCATTCATACAGTGTGATGCTGCTAAAAAGCTTGTATGACATTTGGACAGTTCAGGACATGATTTCCCTCAGTAAACTAATTTTCCATCAGAGCACACTCAGTCAGGGAGGGAAGATGGTGAAAACAGGATGAGGAAATATTTCTCCTGTTCACCAGATTTTGGCCTAACCAAAGAACCACCTTGTTGTGTGGCCTTGCTGTCAAAGTTGAGTCCCACACTGAAGATTCTATCGTAGAAAGATAACATTACAAGTTTGTGCTTTCTTTGGATGTTTTTCAGTTCTTAATTTGAAAAAATGTTGTAGTTTACTTTTACCCAGCAATTGAGCAAATAGCAGGTTGTTGTACAAGTATGATGTTTCTGCTGGGATTCTGTTCTACTAGAATCAAACGTTGTTGTCCATGTCTATAACTGGCAAAAACCTGTTAATAATCTTAGTGATGTATTAAAATACTTTGAATTGATGATATAATGGTTATTCCCAGAAAAAATATCATCTCTAAGAAACAGCCAGGAGTCTGGATAAAGAACAAATTATATCTGTGTAATTCCTATAAAATTGTGCCATCTTTCTTTTGTATGTATTACATTTTGGTCATAGAATGTCTTAAGCTGTCCTTAAACCCTCTTTCCAGTGGCTACTCCATCCATGTCCTGCTCTGCCTCCTAAGCTGTGCCAGGATATCTGATTTTGTGCATATGTAGTGAATTAGAACAGGAAGGAAATAATTAATGGTTTACTGGGTTTTAATCTGGATCACTTTCCTGATTTAGTTCATCACATATCTACAGATCCAGTTGTCCTAACTCAGCCAAAGGAAAAAGAATAAACGAGTGGAGAAAAAGTCCGTCTTGGCAGGACAAAGAGTCCTTAAAAGAAGTTTATGGGAAAATGTGGCCTCAGCAAAGATCAGCTACCTTTACCTCTTCATTTGCTCTTTGGGGGAAATTAAAGAGAATTCACCAACCTGTAAGCAGACTGTCTATGAACACTTGGAACTGTTGTTATGTGTCATAGTAGGATATGACTTATTACTGCTTTTGGAAATACAGTCTGACATTTGCTTATCAAACTCACAAACACACAAATGTGTATTCTCTGCTCACCAAAGCACAAGTAAGAAGCCTCGTAGCTTTTCCTCCTTTTCTTCTCTTTTTATGTAATGTAAGAGTTATCATTATATTGCTGGTCTTTAATTGTGAGGTTTATAAATCAATACTGTTAGGCATAACGTGTTTATCATGTGTTAAAATATGTGAATTGACCTTGACAAAAATGTTGCAAGGTATGATCTCTTTTCTTTATATTTCTTTGGCTACATTAATTTATTAGAAAAAAGCTTTGATATTCAGCGCCTTGCAACAGTGCTTTC